TGTCGGTAAGTGGGATAGGATTTATGATATTTCATTCTTTAATGAAATTTAAATTTACTATAGTGCCAGTATTTGTGAAGAAGATAATTAATTTACATAGCATAACATCATGCCTTTTATCCCCGAAGGGATAGGCAGAGGTGCACATCATGCCACTGTACAATGTAGCACCCACTTTTCACTATCTACGTTATGAGTTCCATGTAAAGGGGCTGAGCCTATTGCCATGTACCAGGCATAATTCCAGATTCCGTGCTACTACTGAGATTTTTTAAAAACCCAGTAATACTTTGCCTGACTCATGAAACGAACCCAAAACCCCTTGCCCGGCAGTCGCACTTGCGACCACTCGGCCAACGACGCAGGCAATTAATTTACATATTTCAATAAAACTAAAACCTACTTATTGTTGTACCTTAAATTATTGTGATCTAATTCAATCTACTCGATTTTACTCTCTATAAGAATAAAATCGAGTAACGGTTTTTTAATCTCATTCATAATTAATTAATTATAAATCCATCAGTATAAAACAAACCTTTTTCCAGTGAAATGGGCAACGCTCGCGGCGCATCTTTAGCGGCAGTATTGCCCCAAGCGGCACTGAAGGCGATGGCGTCTCGTCTGCCGGAGAAGGCGGAGGACATGTTGGCCTTACCTTACGTCACGAGAGCCAACTACCACAAGTACGGAGACCAACTGCTGCAGATCACCAGCGCTTATGCCATCGAGAAAATGGGTAAGTTTCTGAATATGTTAATAATGTGACAGGTAATTATTAAACGACTTCAAAGAAAGGAGCTTGACCTGTACGTATGTCTGTGCGCAATTATCTCGCGATTAGCTGTTCCGGTTTTGTTGCGGTATTCAGAAAAGGGTTTATAACACTTAGGAGAAGGTTTTATAGTATACTAGCGGCCCGTCCCGGCTTCGCACGGGGGGACTTAAGATTTTTTACATAGTTTTACGTTTTATTTATATTTATTCTCAGTTTTTTTTAGCGACCTGCCCTCCGTTGTCGATGTCGCGTCTTAAGGTAACCGATTGAACAATTCAAAAGTTATCTAGAGCAAACTTTTATAAGGATTGAACCATTCATTAAAACGATTGTTATGGGTAAACTATAAAAGGTAGACATATGCTCTCGCGGACTTTTTTAAAATAATGTTAAGATAAACAATTCATCTATAGAACATTTTTGTATAACTTTAACTATATGCTCAGCGCACGCCACGGAAGGCCTCAGAAACGATACTTTTCCCCCGTTTTTAAAACATTTTTGGTTACTGCTCCACAACTATAGGACCTAGCGTGATATTATATAGCCTATGTTACTTCTGAATAATTCAGCTTTCGAATGGTAAAAAAATTATTGCAATCGGTTCAGTAGTTTTTGAGTTTATTCATTACAAACATACAAAAATACAAATCTTTCCTCTTTATAATATTAGTATAGATATAGACTAGCGGACCCGACAGACGTTGGCCTGCATATCCACTTGAAGGTATAAACAAAAATTGATTCAAATTAGTTCAGCTGTTTAGGATAATTAATAACCTAAACATCGACTACAGCGCCATCTGCCGGGCTGATGTGTGGATCTAAACCATTCCCAGATCCCCTTGAACACACACAAAAAATTTTATCAAAATCGGTCCAGTCGTTTGAGAGAAGGTCAGTGACATACACACTCACAGAAGAATTATATATAAAAAAAAAATATTATTAAAAAAACAAAATACCCGACTGCACACTAAAAAAAGAGTAAAACAAGCCCCACAATAATATTGATCAATCAAATGCTAAAAACTAATTATGTAATACCGTTTAAACAATACCTATATTAAAATACACTACAATATGTGTTCGTAATCGATAGTTAAATAAACAGAAACTTATTTTGAATACAAATTTACTGAATATAATTTATAAATGTTGATGGAATGCATCGCAGGCGGGGACCAACAGAGGCTTATTTATAGTCATTTCGGTTGTGCACCATTTAGCAGAATTTTCGTTGGTGGCGGTCAAGGTGGTCCCCGCCTGCGATGCTTTCCATCAACATTTATAAATTATATTCAGTAAATTTGTATTCAAAATAAGTTTCTGTTTATTTAACTATCGATTACGAACACATATTGTAGTGTATTTTAATATAGGTATTGTTTAAACGGTATTACATAATTAGTTTTTAGCATTTGATTGATCAATATTATTGTGGGGCTTGTTTTACTCTTTTTTAGTGTGCAGTCGGGTATTTTGTTTTTTTAATAATAATTTTTTTATTTATAACTTTTTAGCTGTTTTTATTTAACGAAAATGTTGTAGATGTAGAAGACTATCGTCAACGACGTGTGCCCTCATGCGTGTGCCCGCAATCGGGCTGTATACTCGAGCATATCCCCCTCCGCACCGCGCCGCGCGCCGCATGCCAGGCCACGCCCTATCTTTTTGCTTGCTAACGCATGAGTTGCTTTGCGTTGACGCAGAATTAACATGTTCCCGTGGGAATTTTGAGAAAAAACGTATCCTATATTAATTACTCCCGTGATTGAAATGAATCTAATGATACCGCATACATATTTTTTTAAAGGGAAATTTAGAAAAAAATATTATTATGTCTTTATCCGTGGGATTTAGGATAAAATGTATCCTATGACACTCCCGTAATCAAGACAAATCTAACGATACCTCATACATCAAAATCCATCAAGCCGTTTAGGCTACAGGTGGTCACAAAGGAAAAGACATACATACATACTTACATACACTCGAAAAACATTACCCTCCTTCTTTGGCAGTCGGGTAAAAAGATTAAAAATTAACCAACTTCGAAACTTACTTCGAAGTTGAAAGGGTTGAAGTCGGGTTTTTTAAACGTGGTTTATAAAATAATTATTTTGAAACTGATGTCACAAAATATCGAAACTGGAGATAACAATATTTTCCGATCTTGCGGCACATACGTCCGATCTATTAATAGTTGTGTAATACAAGTTTGTCGTCACAAACGTCTGATGAAGATTTAGTCTTAATTATCACATTTTGGATAACATTAGCATCATCTCCTTTACATATACCTGATTATTACATAATACCAACCAGGAATCCTCATGGAGTACCAAGACGAACTGGAACAAAATGACAAGAAAGAGGCTAAAGAGGAAGAAGGTTCAGACTCTGACACGGATTGGAGCAGAGTGGCCAAAGATGCATCGTCATTGGATACCTCAAGGGGGGGCGGGGGACGGAGACGTGGGGGACGGACTTATCGAGGGGGAGTGAGGAAGAGGTACTATTGACTCTAATTTTCTTTTATAGTTGGAATACGTGATTTAACTAAATTTTTGACGTCTACTCGAGGTCATGCTAAATATCAAATCATTTGTTGAATATGACCTTAGTTCGCCAGGCGAGATTAATCGATAAATGAATCAGTCTAGGTTCATTTTAATTATAAATTTTTCAATTTATCTATAGGTTTAAGCGCAAGCCGACATCAGCAGCAAAGAAGAAGGCAGCGCGGGGAGCATTCGCGGGGAGAGCCAGGGGAGGGGGGAGGGCTACTACATCTACTACTACTGCCGCCTCTACGTCTACTGGTAAACTACATTACTTTAACTTTGCTTTAACTTTAACTTTGTAACAAAGTAGGCGTTGTAGGTTTAACTATGTTCAGCTCCCTGTTGAATGAATATCCTCATGTTCAGGACAATTGGGTACTTACCAACTTGTCAAAGTCAATAGTTTTTTCGAACTGTCAAAAACCACAGTTTTCTATGAATTTTATACGAGATTGTGTATTTTATCGGCACGTTATTTTTATCGTCAAACAACATACTTATTTCTTAAAAATATGCTGGATAAATACTAAAATTAAGTTGGACATAAAATCAATTAATGAAAGTGTGATTATTTTTTCATATTTTATTCTATTAAACAGTCGAAATAATTTATTTTTGATTAAGGCAAGTATACAATTCTAACATGATCCAAAAGTATAACAAATTACCCCTAACTGTCCAATATCAATAGATTATCGACTTATTTACGAAACGATAAAGTTTTAATTCAAAGAGTTTGTTATTTTGTACTTGAACAATTTGACACTTTAATACACGGAATCTTCATTCCGCTTCAACAATTTATATCATGACCTAAGGTTATAGCTTTAAGTTATATTTTTCCTTAAAAATAAGAATGTAATTATGTCCTTTATTAGGTCGTCTAGGCAGTATGCCAGTCCCGCGCGGCAGTAGCGTACAACTCAACACTCGGCCCGGAGTCTTCAACCCATCGCGACTTAACCTCTTGTGAACTTGATACTCTGTACAATATTGTAATAATAATTTATTTATGGTATTTAACTCGACAGTAATAAAATGTGTTTTTAAAGTCAATTTGTAAATAATTACTTTGTTACCATGACATTAAGTTCAATTTACGTTGATGTTAAAACTACCTAATGTAAACTTTATGGTCTTAACCTCATTTAAGTAGAGATTGAGAAAAATATAGCTAAGTAGAGCAGCTTTTCCGAAAGCGGCGTGTAAAACAGACGACGCTATACAAATGATAAGACTATCTCTTTCTAATACTTAGAAGTAATATGTAATTTATTGCCAAGTAACTATTTGTATAAATTGTTCGGACTAGATGTGTTGTCAATTTATTATATTATTTTTAAAACTATTTTGATTCTGGTATCATTAAATGAGATAATTTAATAATTAATCCAATGTGCCTGTTCTCGTTGTATACTGTAAATATAATGTTGAAGTTTATTTTTGTTAGTTTTATTACAAACACTTTATTACTTCTTACAAGAAATACAAAGACGTCTCCTTTATATTTATTACCGATTTCAATAAAGGAAGAGGTTCTATATTCGAATGTTTTTCGTATTTTAATTTGGGCCTCCAGGCTTTTGGGTTGCACTGGCAATCTAAAACCAACAAATATTTTTTTTTTTCGGATTAAATTGGGCTGGATTTTCGTACTAATTGTTGTAACTATTTTTAACAGCGTTGTGGTATGAAATAAAATACGATAACTGTTGTACATGTATAATAATTTTCATGGCGTCCCCTGATTTGGCGAGTTCGAGCGCTTCCTTGGAGCTCTGCAGCGGGTAGTGGTGGGTGATGAACTTCTTCAGGTCGATGGCACCTGACGACACTGCTGCGAGCGCTGGCGGATATCTGGATACAGACAGAGTGTTTAGGTAAATTCTTTAAAGGAAACTAAAAAAAGGAATATCTGACGAAGGTTCAACAACTTCAACAAGGTAGTAACCTTGTTGTTTCAAGGTGGGTTGGGTATGGGCGGTTATGGGCCCTTGGTGCGACTTGAAACCAGTCGAGTAACCTCAGTATAGTGTTAAAAACTGTATGGGATGTTAATGTTCGCAGTATGTGTACTTACGTGTTAACAATCCTGAATGAGCCTCTAACGTCGACCTCTCGCAGTAACGCTTGCGACAGTGGAACCTCCACCTTGTTGTCTGCTATGCCTACTACTAGGATGACACCCCCTGTCTTAGTCACCTTGTAGGAAAAATAATTTTATTATTGCTTCGGAGTTAAAAACATGCACATATTAAGTTCGAGAAACTACACAACACTGTAGGTATTTTATGAACTTTTTGTTATCTACAGATACTTTATGAATCACATCAATGCTCAACGTTCGTAAGTACCGTTTTTTTTAAAGTTGACGTTTCTGGTTCCTTTTTTAATTAGAGAAAAAATAAACTAGTGATAAAAGAAAACGTAGTTTTTGAGATACGCAAAAGTATAAAATAATCGCGCTTTTGATACCTGTGATTACCTGATACAAACTCGGTAAATACGTTACCATCATAGCGACTCTCTGCGCGGAGGCGTATCCACACGCGTCGATGGTGACGTCAGGCTGGCAGCCCAGCTGTGACACTACTCCGTCCACCACCTCCTCGTCACTGTAGTCACGCTTCACCAGTAATGTATAGTCTGCACCCAACTCGCGTGCCTTGTCTAGGCGAGACTGAACCACGTCTGCAAACAAAATATTTATTTTAGGAAATCTGTATCTCGCTATTGATTTTAGTTTTGATAAATTCACCATCCTACGTACTCCCTATTTCAAAACACTTCACAGAAGACCGACGTGAAACAACGCTTGCGTTGTGTTTCGTCATGTGAGTGAGGTTACCGGAGGCCTAATTACCCCTTCCCCCTTCCCCAATCCCTGAATTCCCAACAATTCTTTTGTCTCTAATCCCAAAAAACCGGTAACGCACTTGTAACACCTCTGGTGTTTCAGGTGTCCATGGGCGACGCCGATTGCTTATCATCAAGTGATCCGTCTGCTCATTTACCGGCTTATCCCATAAAAAATAATACAAAAAACTACATGTCACTACTGTAACTGTAGATAATTAAAGAATTAGGGATTTTGTAAAAAAGTAAAGAAAGCAGTAACGCGTGTTTAATTTACGCTAAAACTTCAGCTAGTTTGAAATGGCAGTTTTGCTACATGCTTATGCTTCCATTCGTGCTCTGTAGTGGCAAAACTGTATACTCTTTGTTCTTCTTGCTAGGTAAATGATAAGTTTGTTAATCCAATTTCCACGTGAATGCATACCAGTGATGAGTATGGTGCTAGCGCCCATGGCCCGCGCAGTCATAGCGCACAGTATCCCAATAGGTCCGCCGCCGAGTATGAGCACGCGCTGTCCCAGTCGTATCCCCGCGCGGTTGCACGCGTGCATCGCTATGGCCAGTGGTTGAACTGCTGCGCCTTCCTCCATGCTCAGGTTGTCTGGCATTCTAGTAAAAAAATACGCTTTTGTATTTCTGGTGGTCAAGGGGGAATAGCAATAACACTAATGAGTTGAACGTAATATTTGTACACAATTGAATTAATCGAATACGTCTCTGAATTCAGTTAAGATCGAACCGGATGAATGTCTCCTCTAATATCATGACATTTTGTTATGAAGTCATTGGCACGCTAATAAGATAGATCTTCAACTCCCAAACCTAGTTATAATTGGAGAACGTATTTGCTTAGGCGTGGTTTTTAATCCAAAAAGGCTTTGAAATAATAACATATGGTATTATAGAATATAAAAAGTAGAACGAACTTGTGGCAGAAGTCGGCGACATGCTTGTAGTACCGGCAGAGGTTGCCTGGCGCGCCGGTAGTGGAGCAGTAGCGCGGCGCCACGCACAGGTTGTAGCGCCCCACCTTGCAGTACTCGCACGCGCGACACGGCTGTGTCGGCTCTATGGCCACGCGGTCGCCTACTGCTAAAGATGACACCTTCGAGCCTATCTAAAAATAGTTAATACTGTGTTACTTGTTACCGACCAATTTATCGGTTTTCGACCTTCTAACGGTCGAAATTGAGAGTTTCTGTCAAAACAATATTTCAATTTCAAAACCAATATTTTTTTTTGAAACGTTGTCCCACATTAGGATTTTCTCCTGTGTCGTGGGTGCGTTTACAAACATACAAGTTCACATACACAATGACACCCAAACCCGAAACAACAATTTGTGGATTACACAAAGTGTTGTTCCGTGCGAGAATCGAACCCGCGACACGTTGCACGACAGCTGGTTGCCTAGCCACCGCACCAACCGTGCCGTCGTATTGAACTATTAAACAATATTGATCTAGTAATGAATTAGGATCAGTTATTTTTCTGCACTATTAGCAACTGATTGCTTAGCCATATGGACTCTTATGTTTAGATAATAATCAACCAGGATAAAAACTTTGATGACTATATCGACGACTTACTTTGAGCACAACACCAGCACCTTCATGACCAATGACAACTGGTTCAGAAATTATCTCCATGCCACAGGCCCCCGTGGTATAGAGCTTCACGTCAGACCCACAGATACCCACGCAGTCCATGTTAACCAGCACCTCTGCAAGAAAGAACAATGTCTTTATTTTACAGTTATTAAGGTGACTGGATTTAGTTTTTCCAACATTATTCTGTAGCCATAATTTGGGACAAAACTATACGTTTCACTTATTAACATAGAATAGAAATGTATTTCTCATGTAAGTGATGTGTATTAATCCATATTCTTATGACAATAAACTTTTTTATAAAGAACTACACATATGTGTCACTTACCGTCATCGTTGATTTCGGGCGTTGGAATATTTTCCTGAAACAATGTGCAATGGTTATTAAATTCTATGTATTACTAAAGTAGTGTCTAATATCGTCTATTTTCTGCCCTCACACCAATAGAGTTGGTACATTAGATATTTTTCTTTCATTATTATCATCAACAAATTGGCTCTCATGAACACTCTTTCTCTCTGTCTTTCACATGTCTTTCTTCATTTTTTTATGGGATATGCCGTTAAACCAGTAGACGGATCACATGATGGTAAGCAATCGGCTCCGCCCAGGAACACCAGAGGCGTTAAAAGTGCGTTACCTACCGGCCTTTTGGAATTGGAAATCTGATGATTATAGGGGATTCGGGGATTGGAGAGACATTGGGATGGAGGGTCTCCGGGAACCTCACTCACACGACGAAACACAGCGCAAGTGTTGTTTCACGTCAGTTTTCTATGAGGTCGTGGTATCACTCCGGTCGAGCCGGCCCATTCGTGAAACATGCGTTTTTTGGCGCATCCTCTTTTTTCCTCATCCATTTACATTTATACACTAAATACCTAATTGTTTTCTACAAACTAAACAAAATAAAACAATAAAGTAATAAAATAATTTAACACCAGTTTGTTAGTATGACGCGTGTATAACTATAAAAACAGTTTAGTATATATACAGTTCATATTTATTATCTTAGAGGTTAGCATATCTTCAGTGAAGTGATAATAAACATTTGCTTTATAAAACGTTGATAAATACATAAATTCACTATTTATTTACGACTGGCTTTCCGTCCGCGGCTTCACCTGCGTGTTTTAAACCATAGTATACATGTAAACTTTGCACAGAAAGTCGGGATCCCCATAAATTCACAAATCATCTGTTGGTGGAATTTGTACATCGTCTTCATGGAGACTGACAGACAGAAAAGGGGACTCTTTTTATAATATGCAAGGATTGGCCTGCGCAACCAAATATCAATACGTTTATTTCTTCTCATCATCATCATCATCAACAACAGCCTATAAATGCCCACTGCTGAGCAAAGCCTCTTCTCACACGGAGAAGGTTTGAGCATTAATCACCACGCTTGCTCATTGCGGGTTAGCGATTTCAGACTTATAATTAGAAATTATAAGCCTAGGTTTCCTTACGATGTTTTCCTTCACCTTTTGTCAGTGGAGTCTAAATAACCTTAGAAAGTACCTACATATAACTCAGAAAAAGTCACATTGGTACTTGCCGTTGCTAGGTTTCGAACCTCCGGGCCACCACGACTTCATTATATTTTCTGCGTGTGGAAATTGTCATTGATCGAAACATTTGCACACTGCTTACCACTTTGTTTTAGGAGTCGCACAAATTGCCAAGGGAGGGCGAAGTTGGTCCAAACTTTATATGCTTAAAGCGGTTTTTATAATAGGTAGGCATGTTAAGATTTGTGCAGTGTAGATCATTTCAAAGATTAAATTAAATCAATTTAAATGATAACAGAAACGAGAATACAAAAATTATCGCAAGGTAATGTAGAAAATGTAGGTCGCATGTAGAAAACTCAAATGAAACCGACAAAGGGTAGTGTTGCTCTATAAGACACTCTAATAGGGTCTCGAAAAAAAACATTCATTCGAACATAGTATCTCCTCCTTTTTTTAAGTCGGTCAAAAGCCAGAAAATGTAGTCATTAAATTAAAAAAAAATAGTATTTTTCAAGTTTAACCTATGAATGAATTCTAAAACGTTTAAATAAATGAAACTCACAATTCTAATATCATAGGCCCCATGTAGGACTGCAGCAACATTGTCGGCCATTGTTCCAAGTATCTGCAGAGTGTGAGAGTGTCGCGGGAAGAGACGCACTGTCGGTCTAATAGTTTATTATGTAATGAATTAATTTCGTTCCCTCCTGAATTACGTCTCTCAATGTAAACATACAAAAAGATATGTAATCGTGATAACACGAGACGGAAAGGTCTAGTTTATTATTCCAATTCTTTGCTTCTAAATGCCTATACATATTTTTACACAATCACTGAATGCTCTCGATTGTCTTTAGGGCTCGTCCACAAAACTGCGATACGACGTCGCATCGCAAAATTGTGCGAGCTTCCTCTACGCATCGCAAGAACTTGCGAATTATGTAATTCGCATCGCGCATTAAGATCTTATCTTCTCCAAATCTTATTAGTTTCTTTTTCCTGTATGTCCTAGGCAATAACAGAAGTGCACACTTCTTTTTATGATCCATATCACGACCTAGTTTTGAATTTTAAAATACGTTTAGTACGGCTGACGGTCGTCGAAGGAATGGTCACCCTGCGAGACGCCTTGTCGCACGAAATCGCATCGCAGCAATTCGCATCGCATCGCAGTTTTGTGTACGAGCCCTTAGGCTCTTTGATCTGCATAGACTCCACAGACAACCGACGCGATCATAGTAACCGCGCAACCAATTCACTCTTATTATACTCTTTGCTAAAGAGAGGAGACTACTTATGACAAATGTTTCTAGTCAAAACAAAGTCAAAATATATTTTTTAACAAAACACTGTCCGTCCAATAATCAGAACCGACCTCGAAATCGAACTTTCAGTCAGTGATTAAATCCTATATTCTCTGGTAGAGTTCTTGTTAATGAGATTACAATTTGCATTATTCACTTAATTATCTGTGGGAGACGGGGTTTCGGCACGAATAGGGCTCGACCGGTGTGATACCACGGCCTCACAGAAAACCGACGTGAAACAACGCTTGCGTTGTGTTTCGTCGTGTGAGTGAGGTTACCGAAGGCCCAATCCCGCCCCCCCCCCTCCATAGTCTCCCCAAACCCCAAATCCCCCACAATCCTCAAATTCCCAAAAGACCGGTGTACTTGCAACGCTTCTGATGTTTCAGGTGTCCACTGATTGCTTACCATCAGGTGATCCGTCAGCACGTATACCGGCTTATCCCATAAAAAAATTAATATAGACTTTCATCTCATGTCTTCCTACCTTGTAGGAACTAGGAACTAAGTAGATAGGGGTTATTGTTTTCCGCCTAGCGACTCATTACAGGCTTTCTTCTAATACTTATGTAAACTGTTTTGTTTTTCACACAAATGTTCTGTCTAACAGTTATTTGAATCACGAGACTGAAAATTAAATAATTTGTACAATTTCACAATTTATGTCAATATTCTTATCATTCTAGTTTGTTTCTTTAGTACCACGAGTTTTGACTTAATTTGTCATGTGTACTCAATAAAATGCTGAGATGTATGGATGCATCGGCAAATAAGTCAAATCAAATTCGACAATCCGAGGCATTTTTTTTAAGGTGGGAAAATCATCGAATGACTGCTCCCGCCTGGGTGAGGCGGGAGTGTCAGACTCTTGCTGACTAAAAACCACCCCGTTCCTTCTCCTACACGTCGAGCCGGAGCCCCGGTAAACCGTTATACATTTGTTTGTAGCCAAGTGCCGGTTAGATAGTAACGTTTCTTTCATAAGTGGGCCGACTTCAGCCAAAATCACACCAACAATGTTCATCAATCAATAAATATATCTTAATAGGGGGTGTATCTACGTTTACGGGGAAGAGGGGTTCGAAAATTTTATTATTTTTTCTACCAGGACATCTAGTTTTCGAGATATTTTGAATTTTTTTATGCAACACATCTGTTAGCCGAACATGAAAGAAAATGTTCGTTTTATTAGTTCCGCTCCTGTAGCAACTGTGCAGGTAGGTTAGCAATCTGCCTGAATCTGGTGCCCATTTGATCTTCTTTCATACACTTGTGAACTAGGAATTTACAAGAACGCTTTTGCGATCATAATGTACGGACTGCTTTGAACCGAATCAATCGCGTATATTTTGTTTTCCTGACATTTGACCTTTGCGATGGCCCATTGATGGTCAGATAACGAATGGACGTCATGTTAATTAAAAAATAATATTGTTCCTATAATGCTTTAAGCCAAGGATACACTAGGGGACAAATATCTCATGACATGTATCGGCGAGATGTCAAGCGAAGCCTGCCGATTTCGAACGACATATTATATGGCTGCGGTTCCACTGACGCGGAGTTGGGTGGAGAGGAGCGGTGAAAAGTGGCCAGGCTTCAGTTTCACTGAAGCGGAGCGGACTGAACTGCACACAGCACTGGCCCGCTGTCCTCGGCTTTGCACTCCAATGCTCATTGTCCTCCGCACCACATCGCCTGTATTTTTGTTATGAATATCAGCTCAGCTCTGCTCCACCCCGCTCATGCTGTTTCCATTGAAGCGGAGCAGAGATTTCGATCATAGTGATTGGTCAATTCGTGACCGCTAAGCTCATCTCCGCTCCGCTTCGCGTCAGTGTAAACACAGCCTAGTGCGAAAACGCGGGGCTTTGCCTTGGCCAAACATTTCGACCAAAGTCCGACAACGTGGCGTTACTTCAACCGACGTCGCTGGCAACACGTGTCGCAGGCTATTTGTCCTCTAGTGTATCCTTGGCTTTCAAGTTTCAGGCGATAATGACGCACTCAACACAAGCGCGCCACAACTTTATGGTTAACCTTTGTTTCTGTTCCTATGAACTTTTGAGATTTCAACCTTAGATCTCACGTAACCGTCTATTCAAGGATTTTAACCACACTCACTCAGGCTTTAAAAGAAAACACAAAGTATGGAAAATATTATTTTTTATTCATAAATACAAAAATACTTTCTCAAATGAAATTTAATTAAATCATGATTTTAATTTTAACAATTAACAACTTACACTAAACAACAAAGTTTGTACTTAAAATTAAATTTTATGTCTTTACAATACAATATATTATTGCGTGAATTCGGATATTTTGCTATAACAAATGTAATTCGGCATGGGACAATTTCAGCAATAGCGAACATAACCTTTTTACCAGGCAGGATATCAAAGCCTCAAACTGTCAAATTACTTTAATGGAATTTCAACTAAATGGTAAAGAAAGTACTAAATGGTAAATGGTAAAGAAAGTGATAAAGTATATTGTAGAATGACAGTTTGAGGAAGACATGACAAACAATTTTTTTCTCTAGTAAAGAACTTAAGGTTCAAAATGCAGTGTCTAGAACTTATAGGGGCTGATGGCATCCCTGGACTGCACGTGTATGTGCCCAGATACCGCGTATCAAACTACCTCAAACTGACAAATTAGTTCAATCGATTTTCATCTTAATAGTTAAGCAATAAAATCGAAAATCAAATACAGTGATATACAAATGTGATATGACAGTTTGAGGTACACTTGATAAACAATTTTCTTCTTTACTGTATAGAAGTTAATGTTGGAAATGCAGTGGGTTGTTGGTGTCCCTGGGTTGGACGTGTATCATGACTTTAATCCCGGCACCCTGGCGCGCCACCTCGTATGCCTGAAGAGTTTCTTCCAAGCTGAAGTGGTGAGTTACTAGCGGCTTCACGTTGATCTTTCCGCTGGCTACCATGTTCAGGGCTATTGGGTACCTGGGGGTAGAGAAGTTATGAGATGAGATGACATTTTATATTTAGTTTAACTAGACACTACACTAGAATTTTCTCCTTGGGTTCCTTTAGAAACCGAACCTACCTCATTTGTCGGTTTTAAAGCCGAAAAAATAACACTGAGTTACTTTCGATAAGACTACACATATAGGGTAAGAAGGACTCAAAGCGTTAGATACTCTCCGAAGAGTTATAATATTTTAGATACAAATTATGGAGCAGGTATAAAGAGATTGTTATTGGGCATAGAGATGCTCTTCAGAGCGCTTAGTACTACTTTAAATGACGTTTAAATTAATCTAAACGAGACCGCGTTCGGCACTCTGATTGGCCGATTCCAATGAACCACTAACAGCGCCGAACGCGGTCTCAAATGGAAACAAACTGGTACTAATGCCTCTGTTATTAAAACTTGTATACCGACCAGAGTATAAGAATAGTCAACATAGGATCATGAGATTTATTAGCAATCTCTATTCTTGTTAGTATATCTACTCCTATCTTGGAATTTAAGGCATGATGTTATTAGATATTTATATTGCATGTTAGGATGGCTATACGTACTCGTTAACATATCGGAAGATGCCTCGTATGTCGACCTCCCGAGCGAGCGCGCCGGCCAGCGGCACGGTCTGCTCCGGCGCACCCATACCTACCAGCACTGCCACGCCACCTGACTTCGTCGCCTGTAACAAATAAAATGTTCTGAATAAACTATGTATTTTAAACTGAATTTCAAAAATCGAAGGTTAAAATCGAATATCTATGTAGGTACCTACCACGGAATATAGAATACAATATTCGCCATATTCGAACGAGACTGAACTCGAATTTGCCTCGAGTACGCAGTACACGGCTCAGTTGTGGCACGCGTGCCACGCCTACTTGCTACTTCCATTGTATTCTATATTCCGTGGTACCTACTATATATCCCAATAAGCAGTGCCGTAACTAGCCTTCTAGGCGCCCGGTGCGAGCTTTCAAAACTGCGCCCTTGAAAAATGTCCTTAACAGGCTCTGACAATAAAATGGACAAATGTGCATGAAAATATAACTGTTTATTGTGTACCAAGTTATAGGTCGGTACTTAGTAGATGTTTTAAGACAATTCGTTGCTGCCATTCCGCTATGAGATCGCGCCGGAGCTCTTCCCGCCACGCACTTATCTGGCGCAGCAGCGGAGTTTCGCCCTGGCGACGTGCGGAGACAGGCGCATGCGATACACGCGCGCGAGCACCTTCGCCTCCAGATCCCACGGCGGTAATCCGGCAAGGAGGTTCGCCGCCTTCCCGGAGATCGTGCGGTATCCGCGGATCTTTCGGATCGCCATGGCCGCCGCAACATGTTCGGCGCCCACACAGGGGCGCCGTAGAGGGCCATGGACCGCACGACCCCGGCGTATAACCTCCGGCAGGAGGCGTTTGGCCCCTCGAGGTTGGGGAGGATGCGCTTAAATGCAGCCCCCGTCCTCTCCAACTTTGGAGCCAAACGTCGGAAGTGCTCCACGAAGTTCCACCGACTGTCGAGGACGAGTCCCAGGTACTTCATCGTCGTCTCGACGCCGATGGTAACCTCTCCCGCCGTTATTTGGGACTCACCCGGAGGTGGCGCGTTCCCGCAGCCATGAAAACACATAGCCTTGAACTTGTGGAGCGCCACCTCGAGTCCCAACTGCCGGATTCTCTCAACAACTGTCGCAACCGCTGTCGCCATTAAGTCGGCCGCCGCTTGGTGCAACCTCCCGTGCGCTAGCACTAGCGTGTCGTTGGCGTAGCATATGATACAAATGAGGTCGGTGCGCAGCACCCAGTCATATTCGATGTTCCACAGGAGCGGCCCCAGAACCGAACCCTGTGGAACACCTGTGACATCTCTCGCCGGTTCCACTCGCCCCGGTGACCAGGATAAATGACGGACCTGTCCGTCAGGTAAGCCTCGATTACACGACGGAGGTAGGTAGGTACCCGATGATATCGGAGTGCCTCCAAGATGCAGCTCCAGGGCAGGGAGTTGAAGGCGTTGCCGATCTCCAGAGACACCGCCACAACGACCTTACCCCTGGACACTGCAGTCCCCGTCGTCCGGTCCCTAACGCGCATGATGGCATCCACCGTGGAGCGCCCTCTGCGGAAGCCGAACTGGCCGTCCGACAGGCCCAATGTCCGTCAAGTGCGCGACGAGGCGGTTCGAAATTATTCTTTCGAAGACTTTCTCCACCTCGTCGAGCAGCACTATGGGCCGGTACGCGGACGGAGAGTCCGCAGGGACCCGTCTTCCGCACGAGGACCAGTTTACCCGCTTTCCAGAGCAGCGGGAACTGGCCTCTCTCCAAGCATGCGCTGTAGAGACCGATTAATCGAGGCCCGAGAGCCTCTGAGTCCAGGACCCATGCTTTGCCATGCAAGCCGTCTGGTCCTAGGGCGGTGTTCTTGGCGCCCATCCGGTGCACCGGCGCTCTTAGTTCTGCCTCGGTCACCTCTGAGATGATATCGTCGTCGTCGTCACTATAGCCCGCGTCGGGCAGGGGGCGGAGTCATATACGGAGGGGTGAAGCCCCTCCACAGTCGGGGGAACAGGGCGTCAATCACCTCCTCTAAGACTTCAGGCCGGAGACTCTGAGTGAGCGGGGGAGCCCAAGCGCGGAGCTTGTCGCGTACCATACCGTTACGGGCGTCCCCACGGGTCTCTGTTCAGAGTCCCCAGCATTTCTCGTCGAGCCTCCTCCTTGGCCCGCAGTATTTCCATTGAGGACGGCCTTCGCCGCCCTGTATCCCTCGCACAACTCCGCCTCTCTCGCCTCCGCATTCGGAGGACGGATGCGGCGCCTGCTGTGCCTAGTGTACTGGCGTCACACAGCAGTGCACGCCTTGCTGCTTAGAGCTGCCAGCTCTTGCGACCACCAGTACACCTGGCGCTTTTGTTGCCTCGATCGGATCCGGGGCATCGCCACGTCACAAATCCTGGACATGGCGTCCTGGAACCACTTGGCCTCATCGTCAATGTCGGCAGGCCTGAGCGGTGGTATCACCCAGGCCTGGCCAGGCACGATAGCGGCTTCCAGGAGCAGGTCCCGGTCCAGCTGTTTCAACGCCCAACGCGGGCCACATGGGCCCTGTCTGAGCGGCGGGTCCGCGGACTCGGCGGAGACGTCGAACCGGATATACCGATGGTCGGAGTACGTCTCTACCTCCTCCATGAAGTAATTACTACAGCCGCAGTCCTAGGGGCGAGGAGCAAGGCAGCCCGTTGCGGCGCTTACGGCCCTCCTTGGCGACTATCCTCGCCACTGCAGTTGCCGCCGCTGCTGCAACTCCAGCCTGCCGGGATGGAGTGCCTCTCCTTTTTTTGTTTCGTCCCGCGGGCGCAGGCGCCGCGGGCACAGACGCCCAAAGTTATAGTATAGGTACTTTTGTTTGTGTATGTAATATTGCGACCAAGACTTAAGGTGGATATACATTTGTCTGATGTCGTTTGACATGTGTTGTTGATTCAAGATCGTTTAAAAATGCGATACAGATTTAGATAGTACAGTCTGGTCATTTCTGCGCCCCTCCAGGTTCTGCGCCCTGTGCCTGGGCACCGCTGGCACTGCCCTATTTACGGCGCTGCCAATAAGTATACGACATATTGATGTGCTGGCATCGGTCAAGCTTTAGATATAATTCGACGAAGCTTAATCCTCCTTTAAAAATATATTTTGTTGATTGCTTTTTAGCCAATATCACTTTAAAATTAATTCTAACTTGAAAAATCGACTTTAACACAACTGAAGTAGGTACATAATGTATATTATTATTTTCCCTAATATATCTTACCAACATAGCCATTCTGACAGTAGCCTGTGCTCCACTGGCATCGAAGGAGACGTCAGGCTGGTCTCCCAGCAGTTCGTGGATCTTCTTCACCATGTCAGCTTCACTGGTGTCCTTGGTCGACAGGATCGTGGCGTCAGCTCCTAGCTTCTTAGCGAAGTCCAGTCGAGACTGCAGTACATCTGAAAATGGGTTCATAATGCAGTTTAATAACAGTAAGTTCAGAGTTACTGAGGAGAATGACTTGGTCAAAATTTGAAATAGAGCTCTTTCTATACTGATACAAGGAACTATTCTCCAATTCGATACTAAAGCCTGGATTAAAAAGAAAAGCAAAGGTCTGATCAAAGCAAATGAGACTGCATTTATTAAGCTAGAGAATAAAATAGAACTTTATTCTTATAGCTACAAGGAACTGAATTGATTAAACTTAAGAACAATTCTGACTAACCTGTAATGAGAACTTTGCTGGCTCCCATGGCCTTAGCAGAGAGCATGGTGACGAGCCCAATAGGTCCGGCACCCAGCACCAGTACATTGTGACCTCCGGTCAGGCCTGCACGTCTACACGCGTGGATGCCAACTGACAATGGTTCTAGAAGCGCTCCCTCTTCCATTGTCACGTGGTCTGGCAGTCTAGAGAGAAGAAGATTATACTTAATTTATTGACAATAATATTATTGTTCCTTTTATAAGTAGGTACGTAGTATTATTTGTTCTTTCAAGAGATTTCATACAAGTTTCGAATATGGACGTTGAGGAATAAGTTTTTCCTCTTAGAAATAGTTGATGCACCAGGTAATAAGTAAATACATGTATCTGTATTCTGAATTCACGCTTGAGTAAAATTCCTTTGCTTATACCTAATAACTCGGCAAGATTTTCCTTCTATTATGCATCTTGAGGATGTTTTCAGTTACCTTTAAGTTTCTAATAATTTTATTGGCATTTAGGTTTTACGTGTGTATGGGTGTGATGACCTGGTGCCATTTGATCGTCAACTTCAAGGACACCTTGTATAATTAAGTACCCCTGATCATAATACGTTTATCCTGGTTAATCTTCTAAGCTAACCCGCTAGCAGAGTAGCGGCAATAAAACTAAAAAGCTTATAAAAGTACAAACTTGTAGCAAAAGTCAGCAGCATGCTTGTAGTATCTAGCGAGGTTGCCGTGGACGGGAGGGGTGGCACAGAATACCATATCTGGACAGAGGTGGTAGCGGCCGGTCTTGCAGAACTCACAGTAGCGACAGGGTACACCAGGCTCGATGGCCACACGGTCACCCACCTTCAGGTTCTTCACTTTAGCACCCAGCTGCAGGGAACAGTCGAGGGTTAGTAGTGGGTTATAGTTTAATAGGTTGCTTTCTTTCAAAGAGTGAAACACATATAACAATCATTCCCAAAGCCTTTAAAAGAGTTGGAAACGGTGTTACATATTTATATCGGACTGGTTTTTGGCCAGTTATGTTGTTTATGTATAAAGGCTTATAGCATCAGCAATTGAGCGTTATAGTTATAATTAATGTAACTTAAATTTTTTTCAATCGATGAACCCCTAGGCGTATCTATTGAAAACTTTAAAGGCGTTACATAACATTATCTATATGCCTACTAGCTTCATACTATCAACCTTATCTATGGGATAATGTTTATTCACATCATGCGCTATTTATTTCCTTTTACAAAAGTCATTAAAGAGTTAAGTACGCCATAAAGATAATTATCATACTAAGCCGCGGTAATAAGCTTATAATTAGGTATATTATACAACCGTGCATTTACTTAATATTTCGCTTCGCTATATCTAAACAATAAAGAGGTAGGAGAGGCATATTATATACAGATACATTATACAGTCAGAAAAAGAATTTGGTACCTATGCAGGTTAACCTATTGGATTCAATTGTAAAATATAGGTAGGTTCCAAGTCAATACATGCTAAAAATCGGTTAAGAAGATGCGGTGTTAACCAAAGATCAATATTTGAACACTATTGTTTGCATTGTTGTCCATATTAAAGTTTTGACGTCGCAATGAGAATGAACCCAAACTATTTATCGTCTACCAACCGATTACATTATTGCATAATTATAATTATTGTTGGTAATCTAAATAAGATATCGGACAATACGTAGGTACTGTAGCTTAGACGTCAGAATGGAAGTGACCAAACTTTGTAGATATCAACATTTTATCATAACATACCTATCAACCCATTACTAATACCTATTACTTTAATCAAGAAGTCTTCAATTGATAAAACGACTTGCTGACCATTCTGTTACTTTGAAAGCCAAATTACCGTACGAAAGAGGTTCATGGTCATTCGCCGCCACATCGGCAAAATAATTATAAATAGCATAGCACACACGTGTGTGTTTGTGGGTGTGTCTGTATAATTACGTCGGCGACAACACCTCCGACGAACATTTAGGTACCAACTACGCCTCATATAGTCGTTAACCTATCTAACTACTTTAAATACCAAACAGCAACAGGATGGTAACGTGCCGTCGACCTTGGCTTGTCTGGGGCCAGTTTTGTGATTGTGGCACCCAATGTTTGTAGATTAAAATTATGTTGGATATGGCGATAAGAAGAAAATTGCGTAGGAGTACTGTGTACAAAAATTCTAATATTCACTATGATATCGTGGACAATTATGGCGTGCATACATATGTCCTATTTTTGCTCTGCGAGTGTGAATGCACTTCACAAATTGATCGTAGTGCGACGCGTCTACGTCAATGCGCATACCGACCAAGACATTTAGACTAAATATAGGTACAATCGTTTGACCCGCAACCCGCAATGATAATAGTTAAAGGACGTCTTTTATTGAGGCATTTGTTGATATCCGAACTTGGATACAAAAGTTAGAAGTCCAGAAATATTCTTAGGGGCAAAATTATTCAAGTTAATAACTAAAAGATTGACACAAAACATTGGAGCATAGATAAGATTAGCACGATGATGGATTTTGGTAGCAGGTTCCAATATCCTAAACCTATCTTAACCCAACTTATGGACAACAGCATGTTCTAAATATTTGATGACCTAATTACCTTCCTTAAGACCTTAGACCCTTAGGTCCTCTTAAGCCTAGTTATTGCATGAGGATAACGAAAAACGCTTCAGTGAGTGGTATTTTTCTAGTGGTATAAATCCCGGGTGATGGTGATGGTATTTGGGATTCGGACATTGGCTGACCTTGGCGACGACTCCAGAAGCTTCATGTCCCATAATCATGGGTTCTTTGAGCACGAAGTGTCCACAGGCACCACTCTGCCAGTAGTGCACGTCAGACCCGCAGATACCCACACAGTCCATACGAAGTAGTACCTCTGTAAGAAATAAAATTGAAACATGTCAGTAACACACACTTTTGATCAAAACATGTATCTAACAATAACGTTTATAGGATGTAGAAGGACTATTACAGACAATCGCTGGTTTGTGTCCCATTTCGTTTAAGTAAAATAAAGTTTTCTAACAAAAGCGTGAGAGGAGATCCCTCAGATCCCTCTGCATGCTCTTCTCTATTCTTAATGATCCTTGTGCTCCAGATTACTTAAAATCTTGCTTCCAGCTATTAGGCAGTTGCCACAACCGTAACCTCCGCTCGACTGATAACTTGCTCCTTGAAATACCTTCCCACCGGACCTCTTTTATTTCTAATTCCTTTACAATAAGTGTCATTAAACTTTGGAACGCGCTCCCCCTCAATATCAAAAAAGCTCCTAATAAAATCTCCTTTAAACACCAAGTTCATGAATTTTACTTAAAATCGCTGCAACGCTAGGTCTAGGTCTTCGTCGATATATATTTATTTATGTATTTATACCTATATATTTTATGCATATGACTATATATACTATTTACTATTATGTAATATATATGTATAGCTATATTATTGAATAATTACCATTTTATTTATTTTTTCCTCTCTCTCTCTCTTTGCTGTTAGTTTATTCTCCGTACCTTATTTTTCGCAGATTTTCTATTTAAACCCTAAGGTTGACTGGTAGAGAATGCCATATGGCATTAAGTCCGCCTTATGTGCCATATTAAAATTGTGTACATTAAAGATTAAATAAATAAATAAAAAAAAAAAGCGCAAATGACTAGGCCTCATAGTATGTCTTCTAAAAGACCATGTGATCTCATGCGTGGAAATAACATTACATTATTATAAAAATAATACTGTTGTCTTCAAAATTCTTCTATTCCATGTCATTGAATTCATTTTATTTCAAGATCAATCTTATTCAAATTTTCCTTATTAGTGATGCAGTTACAAAAGGCTACCTAGCTAGGAGCAAGATGTTTTTGTACGATCGTTAGATATGCTTCGTTAATCAATTATTGGCTGAGATTATGCAACATGGAGTAAAGTGGCTAAAATGCAAATAGACGACTTGATACAATCAGTGTAGGTACTCACTGATTGTATCTCCTAGGAACGGAGTCTTAACACGCGCGGGAAGAGAAGCGGTGGTTAAAAAAATATTCTCGGGCGTAATACAATAACAGTAATGTATCTAAGTTAGATTAATATCAAAAATAATGTCCGTCATATCTATATTGCAATAGTGGCGTAGTTAAACACCTTCGTAGTGGATCTTACATAGATTCAATTAAAATGCACGCTCATCGTCTTTAATCCGTTTTACACAAGACTATGTTTATAATCTAAAACCGCTTTTTAGATTATAAACATGCTTTCGATTTCAAATATGTTTTAATTAGGGATATGGTATAATAATTATGGAATGTCATTTCCATAATGTTGAATTCTTGATATAGCATACTATTACGCGTTTTAGTTTCAGGAAAATAAAAAAATAATCTTACATAACACGCTGGTACAATACCGACATGCGGAAATTAATATGTAAAGTGTTTGCTAAAAAAAAACAGGATATTGAAGTGGTTTATCGATTAAAAACATGTAAATTATAAGTGCTCAAGTATTTACCGAGAGATAGTGTTGCGTCAACAACTGTGTTAATATCGACACGTTGCACCTACAAAAGTAAACACACCTAGGGCTGTACCTACGTCATATCATTTCTATGTAAATATTAATTAATAAAGGGTGACTATTATTCATTACATGCTCATCTCATGATCACTGAAACCAAATAACATGTTTATATCTATGACCTATTTATGTGAAAAGGCGAGTGCTGAAGGCAAAGTTCCCTAAGATTGATCGGAAAATAACCAAAGAAAAAAGATTGTAATATAATGACTCCTGAAAGGAAGATTGGAAATAAAGAATCAATGAATATATTGTACCGACTCAGCAGTAGCTTGGGATAAGGACACTAAAGGTACCTAAGTATGAAATTTCTTAGGATCTTCTTAGGATCTGATGATGGTAGACCAGGGAAACCGAGGGGAACTTTTAAAAATTATAGGGGTGACTAGGGCATTTGGTAATTTTTTCATTAAGTATTGAAAACCACTACAATCTGATAAAAGTCTGGAGCCGATCTGATGATGGAGCCGAGAGTCAGTCAAGGGAACTCCTCAACGGTTAACAGTAGCTAGCTTGTGTTTGGGTTTGATTAATTTGTATTGATGAGGACTTTACACCTGGGTGGAGTGTAATTGTCAATAAGGATCTGATGATGAAGTAGTACTAGTACGATAGTTGAGGGAGGGAAAATAGATTGTAATATAATGACTCCTAAAAAGGAAGACTGGAAATAAAGAATCAATGTAAATATTGTACCGACTCAGCAGTAGCTTAGGATAAGGACACTAAAGGTATCTGAATATGGAGTTTCTTGCTCGTTTTTCTCCTTAAGAATCTACACCTTGGAATGAGCAAATAGCTTCTCTTTTAAATTTTTTGTTGACGTTCAAGTCTGGTCTAATTGAAAAATGATTTTGACTTTGAAGTATACATGCACGACAAATATATCTATCGAAATTTATAAACAGTGTCCGTTTTTCTAATACTGTAGCAAAATTCCTGAATAATGGTTCAACAGTTAAGACGTTAAAGTGTGACAAACAAACAAGCTCTTGCGTATTCATGATGACTATTGATTAGTTTGATTACCTTTCAAGACGTTTGATTACCTTTTAAGTAGGTATTTGACGTTATCGCCAATCTTGAAAGTTCCTCTTACGATAAATGAATAAGAGTGACAATTTTCAATTAAAACTTATTATAGAGGTAATTATGAGGGTTGATATACGTAAGTACATGATTAATTTTTATTTTAATGTCCTTCTGGTAGATTTTAAAACATTAGACATGTATTTTTTATTTTGTAACAGAAACAAATATTTTCGACGATATATTTGAAATAACGCGTGACGTCACTTCTTTCTAGACGTACATTTTACAAGTAGAAATGACGTTTTCGCTCCCACTCCTAAACTTTGATCCCTTTTATCTAAGTGTTGAGTTTCTTAAGACAAAATAAAATAATACGTACCTATCTAATATTTTTTTCATTAACTAACAGACGGATTAGATTTTTAATTTTAACACTTCGTCATTATCTCTTTTATATACCTTCACAGGTACGTATATATTTTTACAAACCACACTAGTATTTGTGTACCTAATGCTTAATTTAAAATTAAAATACACGTACCATCGTCAGCTATTTCTGGTATCGGTGTTTGTACCTGAAAATAAGTTTTTTTTAATAACAATACTAACGTAAGTCATTTACGAAATTGGTACCTACCTACCTACTTAATACAAAATTTAAGCATTTTGTCCTTAAATAAATTCCTTGTAAGATGGTACCCCAAGATGTACCATACCTACAGTCAGAACCCTAATATTTTGTTCTAATGGTTCACTCTTAAATCTTGGCTACCTACCTAGAATGAGAATATCAGCTGACTTGACAGTTGTGACGTAACAATAAACAATAAATAAAAGTTAATGACTAAAGTTAGTTATTTTGTGACAACAAAAATTATACAGAATAAAAATCTATTATTTATTTTTGTTCTAATTATTAATTTAGGCATCGAACCACAATTAATATTCTAGAACTAGATATTTATCGATAAGGTTAAGCAAATACAAAGTTATCTTAAATAATAAATCCAGTTATAATATTATTAAGATAAGTAGTTGTTATTTTGCAGAAGATTTAAGTTCTTGGTAGAAATATCGATCCGGGCCTTAAAACTGGTATCTACTGGATTAAACCACTAGTATTATTATTTATTTCACTTTTGTATGTAACACATGCACACTTAACAACAGTTTAAAACGACCTCAAAGCTACTAATTAAATCGATTTACTTAAATGGATACCTTTATTCCTTTAACACAACCATTTTTATTACCTATGTAGGGTATTAATAATGGAATAAGAAGTTTAGATAACTTACCAGCTGCAAATCCTTGGGCTTCTTGAGAAGTGCGGTTAAATTATCTCCGGCCATTTTACACGTGTAACTAGTTCGGTGTCAAAAGTACAACTGCCGTGGCCCGTGATGCCGCGAACAGAGTGTCAACTTGTTTGTTGATGAATGAGAGAATGAATGAACTAATCCGCGACCTATAAATATGTGTGCGCGCGGGAGGTGTGTCTGTTTGTGTGTAAACGTAACGTAAACGTGTTTGTAGATATAAATCACACTAATAATATAAATGTAAAAGTTTTTTGTTTGGATGTTTGTCCGTCAATCACGCTGAAACAACTGAACGGATTTTGATGAAATTGAGATACCTATAATACAGGCAGGGTATGGGCTGTTTAACTGATACGATACCTTTTATCCCGATTAAACGCTCCCATGGGATAAAATAAAACAGAAATACGCGAGCAAAGCAGCGGGTAAAAGTTAGTTGTACAATATTGTACTGAAACTTGATAGTAATTCTAATATGATTAGAAAAATAAATAAAATAAAATAATGTATTAACCACTAGGGCCGCCCCTAAAAAAAGGGCCGATTTTTCAATCATTACGTAATTCTTAACTGTAGAATAAAATGTACCTACAGTTGACAGTTTTTAGTATGGAAGAATTGTCAAATATTGATAGTTATTCCTCAGTTAAAATTTATCTAAGCATTTTTTTAAGGGGGGAAAATCATCGAATGCCTGCTCCCGCCTGGGTGAGGCGGGAGGGAGTGTCAGACTCTTACTGACTAAAAACCACCCCGTTCCCTCTCCTGCACGTCGTGCTGGAGTCCCGGTAACCCTTTAGGTTCTCCGCGACATGTTTTGTAAAGGCTGTGGCTGTTTATAAGATGTGTCATATGTCAAATGACGAAACCCCATATATATTTTTAAAATAAATTGCTCAGCGCTTTCTGATACGACCTTTTAAACTAGGATCTTCAACCCAGCTACTAAACTACCTAAGCGATTATTACAAACCCTCTTAACTATGAAGAGGAGGACCATAATCTAATAGGGGACTGTCTCAGGCTGTTATTGAAATAGCTTTATTAGTCGGATAGTAGGTAGGTAGACTGCCTCGTTGGCCGAGTGATCGCAAGTGTGACTGCCGGGCAAGGGGTCTCTGATTCGATTCCTGGGTCGAGCAAAGTATTACTAGTTTTTTTTTAATTGTCCGTGGTGGCACTGAGCCTGGAAATGTGCTCGGTATATGGCAATATGCTCACCCTCTATTACTGGGATAAAAGGCGTGATGTTATGTTATGTTAGTAAGGTAGTTTTAAAAAGATTGATTTTATCTGCTTTGGACCTGTTGTCTTGCTTCCCAACTTAGGCACTCCCTATTTACCTGAATATCTACCTACCTTAAATAAACCGTTAATTACGTACATGGAAAATTATCTTCACTGTTTATCGACAATATAATAAACTTTATTATCTACGAAAGCGTTGTGTACAAGTAGTTACATATTTACAGACATTGTTTTCCCGCCATACAAAGTGTAACTTATCTAAAATACGATTTTATTTTTATTTTATTTCACTACATACTTTTATTATTTACACACGTATTTATAGGTAGGATTTATGACAGTGCGCTCATTAGATACAAATATATGGAAAAATAAAAAATCTATGCATAAAATGTATTTTAGCACATTAATTTACCCGCCTGCCTATATAAACCAGAATCACGATCTCATTAAAATATCATTAAAAATTAATCATCTAAACACCGCATACTGCAATATTTACCCAAAACCCTATAAACAGAGTTCAAAATCATAACACACAGGTTTAAAACATTTCACATAGTTGTAAAACATAATGACTTAATAATAATCTACTAAATGGTGTACAATAATCACCATAATATTCCATTGACCAGAACGGTGAAGTGACGTCCCTAATCACTATTCGAAAGCAATGTGCTATCGAATAGTTATTTTATTCTTACCATTCATATTTTGTACTATGGCCCCTACCCACATCCTGGTGACTCGAGCAGGTCCGTGCTACGATTCTGTGAAGACACCTGTAACAGTGGCAGAGCTGAGTATCTCCACGCTAGGGTACGACTCGTTGCTAAGCGGAGAGTTCAATATTAGCGAAGATATCGATAATGGGTGGAAGATAAAGGTGATTTTATTCATTTTACAATTTTTAACTAATAGAAACCAAAGGTTTATTAAAAGAGAAACAAGTTCTCATAGTTACTATTGTTACCAAAGTGCGCTTCAAATATTGTTATTTTTTGCTGTTCTCCTATGTTTGGACCAGACAACTTTAACTTTTCGACTCGCAAAATTCTACAATAAAAAAAAGAAAATAAAACAATATACATACAAATTGATAGGTAACCTCTTTTATGGGAAGTCGGTTAAAAATGAAAATAAATCTGAGTCAACCGAACATCATAATATCATTTCTATTACCCTCAATCAATTATAATACCCTTGCTTGTGTAGGCTACAATGCAGAAATGCGTGGACATTCGTAACATGGAGTCGTGTGACTTCCTGAGGTCGTTCGACTTGGTGAAGAGCGGCTGTGCTGACGACGACAATGAACAGGGATTGTACCGTATGCTATTCCACTATGCACACCCAAAGTGAGACATTTCAACTAGATATTTTAAACTGCTTCATTTTAAAATGACCTTTAACCTCTTATTTGATGAAACACCGGCTCCCGGTATCCCCGGTATAAAACACATTATGGCCGCAACTTTCAACAGACAAGAGGCCTAACACCAAATTTATTTATCTATCAAATATAAATATCTGCATTAGTATTGAGGACAGGTTTTTCGGTTGACTTGAATGTCTAAAGACATAAATAAATGTTTTGTGAGTATAAATATTGCATAACCCGTATCAGTATCATTATTATGTTGTGGCCTTTAAGTTGCAGATAAACCTTCCACCTTTAATTAAGTCTCATACTGCGTGATAGCAACAGATGTAGATAGGTAAAATGTTGTTATTGATATTCGAGTCTGAAATCTGAAGGCAAATGGGCAACGTGCCACTTATCTTGGCATCACCGGGCCATAAATCTGTACTCTGAGTGGGAATGCAGACTTTGTCGTTGAATCACTTTTCACAGGGCAGGTAACATGACATTAGCCTCTTTATCCCATGCCATTAGAAGACGACCTCAAGAGAAGAGGTTAGAACTAAGCTAATGGTCTTTGTCTCAGCGGTCGGCAACAATTTTAAATGCCTTCAGCTCAAGCAATGACAATTTCAATAAACATGTTTTATTATTGTGACCTCCAAGTTATCGGAAGTCGTTATCATTGTCTTGTTGTGTAAACATCACACGCAGTTCAATTCCATCAACTTAATGACATTACAATCACGTTAGATTAAATCTTAGTAGGTATCTACATCTACTAGTGGTTAATCTGTTGCTGCGACCTGAGTGGAGTGATTGGGGAAATTGTTCAGCAGTGAATGTGTTGTAACTCACATAAAAGATATTGAAGAATTTTCTGAAACCGCATCCTGTTATACCTACTACAATATGAGATAACATGATGTTTAGGTTAATAACAGAAGAATTATTTCTTCCAGGCTAAACTGTCCTGTACAGGCCGGTCGCTATAGGCTGGTAGACTTTCCACTCTTTACCGAGGACAACGACCTTGTGGTGCCAGAGTCCAAGATATCCACCAGTGTCTTTGGATACACGTTCAGACTGGATGGTTTTATTGAAAAACCACGTCGACAGGTGAAAACTTTGCTCGTTTTTTAGTAATTAGACAACGAAAACGGAACTGCTAAAATCTCAATAAACTATGTTACATGTACTAGTTCACAACACAAATAGATCCGCAACAACTCAACAAATCAAACCATTTCTCGCGCGCTAAAAAGTGACAGTGCAACCGTGCATTAATCAAAGAAAATTTAAAATTTTGTCAACTCCCAGATATTCTGCGTAGAAGCACTGTTGCAGTTGTTATACATAAGAAAGCACAACTGGATAGAGAGGAAACATATTATTAAGGAGACTACTCTAAGGCCACCGACCAGGGTCAGTGAAGAAGAAGAAGATGAATAAATACCAGTACAAAGAAACAGGGAGACAATCCTTCGACAGAGCGTTTAAAAACTTTTCCAATATTATAAAAAAAATCTCAACAATTTTCTGAACCAGATTTGTAACGTGTGTATGTTACACTATTTAAATATGTAGTAGGTAACTACTACATATGATATCTACCAACTTATATTTAATATTCACTATAAACTTTCTTAAAATATTAAATAAAATTCGTTATTAAAATTTTACTTTTATTTACCAAAATGGGTTTGCTATTGGATACATCAATTGACAATATGCGGGGACATTATAGAAGACAATTATCATGCAATCGAAAATTTTGGCTTAATTTTTAACGTTTTCGCTTGCACAGCTTGGATCAAAGAAGTGTATTCCTTGTTTCTTCTAGTTACGCAATAAACAAACCAATCCGTGCCGCGCGCACTTAAAAAAAAGAAAACATTAAGAAAAAAATTATGGATCCAGACAAAAATAGGGAAAATAAAAATAAATAAATTGTTAAAGAGTTTCGTGAGCACACCGAACGAAGTGGAAAAGTTACAATTTAGTTATCGTTATAATAAAAAAGCGTCTTCTTTGTAGAGACTTTTGTGTCAGTGTATTTGCGGAGTTTCTTCGAGGCCTCTCAAAAATATACTCATGCTGCCCTGAAATTGATGGAGTTTCAAAATTACGGCCTTTGGCATAATTTGGAAAATGCAGTTAAGTACAATTTATTTAAAGAGATAGCCACGCCATACCCATTCAACAATTTCGAACTAAGCTTAGGGAAGTTGTCATTCAGAATATTATCCGACATAATCTATCAGATAAATATGATTTTATAATATGGGCAGTAACACTATCAAGTTGATTGAGGGACCAAATTGTTACTTACACATGTAGAACGCTTTGAAAATAAATATTTGTTGTACTATTTACCTGTCTTTTGTCTTTAAATCCATTTAACTTGTCGGTGGTATGTTTCAAATATACATAAGAAGTTTGATGATATAATTCACACATCGTTTAGCTCGACATCGACATGTAGGACTGCGTCTAAGTAACGATTGGCGAGGCACTCAATACAGACATTAAACCAAAAAATATGGCGTTCGAAATTAAAGAACAAGTACTTTAACCGAATGACCCTTGATAGCTGATCTTTTATATCGGTGATCGACGACTGAAAACCAACATTAAATACAAAGAAATAGCAATCAAGGCACTGAATTAAAACGACTGATTTTACATTTAATATTTGTTTTTTTATTAAATAAACAACACTATATAAATTTAAAACAACAACAAATTTTGCAAACATCGTATTTCATAACTGTGCAGTAATAAATAATGTTCATAAAGGAGAAACTGCCGTAGATCGAGGCATTGGCAAAAAGGTGTACAATTCCACACACGTATCGGTTCCCATCAACGTGAAAGTAAATAAAATTGACACATCTTTGGTAATAGGTTCGCATAAGGTTGAGATGGAAAATAATGAGGATGTTGTTAAAGTAGGTACACGCATAACACGCTAACACGAATGTCTATAACAATGATATGACATGAAGCTCTATGCGTATGACCCAATACATCGTCAAACACGGTACAACATCTCGGGAAAAGACAACGCAGCGAAAACAGTGAATACCAAGATTGAGTACACCGTTACCAAAATATCTCTTTTCATCTTCATGATTGGATCAAACTCTGTTTTCAGTCGAAATTTGGCTTTATTTACCTTTGCCTTTCCCCTTTTTTTAGGCGTTTCTATTTGAAATGATTGTGTTTTCTCTCTATACAACTTCGTTTCATTTGGCTTTTCGATTGGTTTATTATTTACTTCATATAAAGCCAGCGACTGGTTGGACTCCCCTGTGACAATAATCTGTGGAATATCCATAAACATGTCATTAGTTAGAGACGAGCCATCGGAATATATCGAATGATATTCAAAGGATAACACCGATTGTTTGGATGGGTCGCGAAGTACTTCTATTAGAGAGTTTGTCATGTCACTAATTTCATTTATATCGGGTGGAAATATTTCTGAAGAAACACTCGTGCATTTATTGACTAATTCTTTATCTAATAAATTTGCACCAACTTCTTTATCAACAAAAAGTCTTTTGGAACTTAGCAGTGTTCTAGTGTCCATTTCCATTAGTTCCGATGTCAAATCTTTTTCATATACCTCACAGTCTGATAAATAAAACGAATACAAACTCGCATTAGACTCTAGCTGTCGAAGTCTGTCAAGTGACGTAAAGGACATTGCATCGCAAGGACTACTTTTGATTGAGTTCTCGAGCGCAGCGGCTTTATTTAAAATAGTTTCTAATTCCTTGTTTTGATGGTAATCATTGTGAGTTTTATCATCGGTAGTTATCTGTGTCTGACATGTTGTAATGGTTTGAATTTCGTTTAAGAGTCCAACTAATATATCTAAGGAAGTACTGTATTCGATACCGTGCTGTTTATGTTTTGCAGGATCATTATCTTTTTTCTTATCAGGTGAGGGAGCGCGAGTGGCCTGACTTTGCTCTTTATTAGATGTATTTTTCATTTCATTTTCAGTATTCTTTTTATTTACCTGATTAATCTCCTCCTTTTTGTCCAATTTCACAACCTGAGTATTACTTATACCTACAGTATTGGGCACGATGGCAGCTGGAGTAGTAGGTTCAAAATATTGCTTGCCATGACCAGTAACTTTTTCTGTTTTCTTAGAAACTTCGTTAAATAATTTAACAAGCGATCTTGATTCATACTCTGGGAAAGCATAACCAACGGTTGAAATTTGCATTGGCAAATTTGAAAAATTCCAGTCTAGATTAGACTTTGATAGAACCGGCAAAGTATTTAAATCGCAAAGAGTTTCTTTCGTTTCTTTATAGTTAGTAGCGAGAGGAGATTGAACTACGAGCGAAGCCGCATCTCCTGATTGTAGAACGAGTACTGGCTGCATTGATTGTTTTGGGGTTAGCGTTAAATTTTTAAGGCGCAACCGTTTTTGAAAAGCACCCACCGAGATATGCTGACATAAAGCATTTTGTAACTTTTCCAACTCTGCTACAGACTTCAATGGTTGTAGACCGTATTCAGTAACGTCTGTCTCTATAACATTGATTCGCTCCTTTTTATTTTCAGACGCTTTATCCGTTCTTTCGACGGACGTTACTACATTGTTATCATCTAAAACATCTATAGCGTACTCAGAATCAGAAGACACCTGTTCACACCTGGATACTTTTTGAATGACAGAAAATTCATTTCCTTTTCTCTACTTATTTTAGAATTGGTTTCGTGACATTCAGTCAGTACCTCCAGACCTTGCGTATTAGGATTTACTATTGTATTTATAATGTGATGTAGTCTGCTTCCTAGCTCGGTGGACTCTCCGACATTTGGAGACGACGTGGAAGACGCTATAACATGACCACATAGTTGTAGTATTAATATAACGGAAGCTACAACAATATTGGATTGATATTATAACCTAAATATAATACATACCCAAGTCGATATCGTTCGGCAAAAGTGGAACCCGCGACTTTCGCACACTGTGAGACTCATTGCCAACTGCAGCAGATGTGGTACGTCCATAATGATTTTTCACGTACGACTCAACTGCCACCATCTTCTTCTTCCTGTGAGTAATTAATTGATAACGCAAATTAAAAAAAGTAGGTAAGTAATTAAAAAGAACAAAACGAAAACATAATTCTTAGATTTCACTTACAATGTTTGGGGTGCTTCCGGCATTATAATTTGCTTACATGGGCTCACACCTCGATTTAGTCTTTCTTTAGTTTCAGGACTGCTGCTCGACGAGTGACGTGCTCTAAATGCTCGCTCTAGATAGTAATACATACTGTACATGAATCAAGAAAAAAATATTATAATATTGTTTATATTATATTATTTTTTTCAGAAAGTAGTCAGTTTTACATTGCCGACTATTTTATCCCTCAATCAACCTGTTTAGCCCCTACTTATAGTATCATTTCAACAATATTAATAAAATTCACCTTTACACACCTAAGGGCGGCACAGTTAGAGGCGACTGTTTCATCGACACCGTTGACATTGCCTCCGAACCTCGTTTAAGTTTGTTTCTCGAGTTTACAGAGGCTGTGCTCCTTTCCAAGGTGGATTGTGTTTGAGAGGCCGCTAACCTCTGCAATCTATCTGCCATTAAAGTTTTACCGTATTTAGTTTGGTACTCTTCACTGTGAGCCTGGACGTACGTTCTCTTTGGTTGTGCAAGAGAGTTCAATCTAGAATTCAACTTGGAAGGGCCTCGAACTGCTTCACCTCTAGCTTCTTTAGCTTCGTCTAACAAATCTGAAATTTTCTTTTTTTGTAATTTATCTTTATCTTCGACAGGAATTTGTTGATAGGGAAATTTCGGTGTTTCCATTTCTTTAATTAATCGAGTAGGCTTTTTATCTTTTGGTATTATTATTCTCACAGATCTCTCTGGTTGACTATCATTGTGTTGGTCAAGCCGTGAACGCCGTTTAAAAGAACTATGCCGAGATCCAGTTTTACCATCGGATGACGTCACCTCCATTTTCTTTAAAGATTTTTGTTCAGTGCTCGATTTTTGCCTTATTTTTTGTACATTTTCAAATTCATGTAAAAGTTGTGAAATCGCTTTCAAAGGATTATCTGCTATTTTAATTGTAGGACTGGGGATAAGTCGTTTGCGCTCCTTTTTGATTTTTTCTGAATCCATTTTCGGAGATGATTTTGAGCTGATGATGACCTTGGGAACAATTGCTGGCGGAGTTACAGATTGATGCATGAAGGATTTAACGTTGAGTCTTTCTGTGTTGGTTTTTCCAAAGCTAAAAGAACTGGGATTGGATGATGTTGAGCGGTGTTTAAGGCTAGTTCCACTATCACTGGTCTGATATGTAGAGGGCGTCCTCCCATCAACCCCATTGCTTTTCTCGGAATTGTTTGAGATGTATTTACTTTTCGATGACTGCGATTTACTATCATTGTGCGAGTGTATATTTTGGACGTTTTCCAATTTTTTCATCAAAGTATAGATCTTATCAATACTTTTTCTGCATTCCACTGAAGAGTTGAGCTTCTTCGGATCAGGGTTATCGCGTTCTTCTGCATTTGGAGAATTTGACGGAGCTATATTAAGTATACTTTGAGAACCAAGCAATATTTTTGAATGATTTTTATCAGTATCTTCGTCGATTCTTGCAGCATTAGATCTGTGAACATCATAAGTTAGGCATATGAAAATCGGACACACTTATGATTTTATATTTAAAGAGTTTAGTGATTGATACTTACATATTCTCTTTAGGTTGCGTCTCACAATTATTGCTTACGTCGAGATCAGTTTCAGATGGGCCAATCAACTGTGAAAGTAAATTTAAATTGTTTCTAAAATCACTGGATATGACAGATGTAGACGTAGAGCATACTTCTTTTCCTTCGGTCTCATTTTTTTTCATATTCAGGTACATCATTTCAGTGACAGTATCGTCTAAGTAGTAGCTTCTGTTGGTATATTTCTGGCTGTTCCGCTCTGGAGTAGACAGTGCGGTGTCATTACTTCTCTCAATAATGTCTATCTCCAGAATGTTTCGCTTCCCTCCCCTTCGATTTTTACCTTTGGCTTGCTTACTAGGATCCGTATTCGACTGGCCGTAGATAGAATTGTAAAAAGACTTGTTGGATATTGATAGTTTTGTAACGGAGCTAACAGATTGTGGCATTACACCTCCCTTTCCGAACCTATGCTTCGTAACTTTGCAGTTTTCAGCGAGCGCCATTTTCTTTTTTTCTCGTCTCTCTCTTATTTCTATTAACTTCTTTCTTTTCTTCTCCTCCATTATAAGCGATTGATTTTCGTATGGTGACTTGACTCGGGCTCGCGTCGGAGACTTCTTCTTTGTTGAGTGCGATAAGTCTTCTCCGCTTTCCTCTGTCAAAGCACTCTGCATAGTTAACTTTTGTATTGTAAATCGCAAGTCGTCGGCAAATATGTCACCACGTTTTTCTCTTTGTGCAAGCTTAACCTTTCTATCCAAAATATCTTTTAAAGCGTCACTCGAATCACTCGATACTAGATAACAGGAGTTCTTTGATGATTCAGTGCCTTCGTGCTCACTAAATCCACAATCAATAATATCTACAAGGGTCTCTTCAATTTCATTTTCAATAATTTGTACACTGCACTCAGATTTTACGGACATTTCTGTACTGTGTGAAACAGATTCATCCATACGTTCATCCATACATTCATCTATTATGGGTTTCAATTCTACTATTTTGACACTTGTCTCCGGAAATTGATCTTCATTACTTGGCTCATTAGAAGGTAAAGGTAAGGGCTTTATATCTTGTCCAAGAGAATCTGAAAATCAAACAATCAAACAAGGTATTTCGAATATTTCAGAGCTACAAAGTTGAGTGATACAAAGTATTTTACCATAAACAACTGCAGGGGTAGTTTTTAAGATCATGATTGAGCTAATCTTGCTGACGACTTGTCCAGTCTCAGAACGCTGTAACTGTAATACAACGTCCACTTGTGACTCAGTGTTTGTTGCCTCTTCAACTGGCCACTTGTCTTTCTTGCAACGAATGATTACGTTTTCGGCGCAACATTTACTCAGAAGTTTATACGACCCACAAATGAGGTTTGGTACTTGTACTACAATTCTTTTTTGAAGAATTTTTGTCAGCGATCTAATATCCACTGCTGAGTGAACTATGTCGTCCCACGTGGACTCTCTCCCTCCAATCTTTCGTTCCATGTGCGTCGGGATGCTAGAAGATGTCGCTAGAACTTTAGTATTGACCTGACAGTTATCTTCCACACCGCTCTCTACTTCACGCCACTTCTCTTTCGCTTTGTCAGTTAAATAATCACCATTGCTTATGCGCTTCAGTTGCTCTATTGTATGTTTTACGTATCGAATAATATTGTCCATGTAAAAGTTATAGTTGTCTTCCAAACGTTTGCAACAAATGTAGTCAAGTAAGGAAGCCGGGAGTACTGTGTTTGTGTCGGAGGCGTTGTTCATAAACTTTATATTTTTGAGTTGTTCATTGATGTAAGGATCCTTAAAGAGGAAATGATTGTCGTATTCGGTGGTGAGGCCAGAGGTGTGCATCTCGAGGTCTCCGATTTTTTGGCATAAAGTGTTTTCTGCACAGATGATGGAGTATTAATGAGATCGAGTTTCTCATTGTTGATGAGGTACACGTTTGTGAGGTCCTCGTTGCTGTAGATGTCGCTGATGTCGGAGCCATCGGACTCTGGTTCGTCGTACACCACAGTCTCCACGTGCTGATTTGGTCTCTTGTTTTTCAATTCACTAGCATTCGACATAAGTTTTGTTCCAAGGTCAATGTTCTTGTACAGAATCACTAGGTCTCTGGTAGTTAACTTGTCCATATCTGTAACAAATTGTTGGGATCATGTCTATTGTTATTTTATAGTTCTCGGAAATAAGTTTATGATGTTCACAAAGACTGTTTTTCCACAGAATACATTATTATTTCAATGTAATTGGGGGTTACATCTAGCACTTGTTTATAAGTTGTTACGTAATGTTTTATTGCGAACAAACTGTAGGTACTCACCGCCGGTGTTGAAGTTCTGATTCTTCGCCATGAACTCAAACAATTCGTTGGCCGTCTGGTATTCATGATGTGAATCACTCTCAGTGGCCGGGACGGCCGCACACTCCCCTTTCCCCTCTTCATTGTCTGGTACTTTACTGATCAACATGCCTACTACCACATACGATTTAGAACCTAAATAATGTCTTGACCAACAAGGACAACAACTGCTTCAAAATATACACTGAATACAACACAATAATGCCTACAAAAACACAACTGACAAAACCGTTTTTATTGTAAATTTTTGGTATCATTTTCAAAATATACACGCTGGAAAAGAATTTGCGTCAATATTTTGAATTTGGAAATTTTATGTGTAATATTTGACGGCCAGTTGAGTTGTTACATAAGAGGCGACCAAAAAGTTTTATTACTATTAGAATACGTACTTTTTATTATATTGTACTTTTTGTAGTACCTAAACTAACCTCTTAATTGTACTGTATTATGTGTCACCTATATGTTGGTGCAAACAAATTGTTGATAAATGTCACCAATCTAAGCTTAGGGGTTGGTGAAAACGGGCAATAGTGTAGTGAAGTGTAAAAAATAAAACCATTACAAATAAATACATTAATAACATTTATTAAAATATAACAATTAAATTAAGTACATAGATTATGCAAAATTAAATACTGTATTCGAAATTGGAATGTTAACTAAACGATTACATTTCATTGGTTTATGCATTATATCAGTCTTAATTATAATAAATAGTGCTAAAATACATCGCTATAACTTCGAGAACATAATTCTTACAATAAAAATAAAATATCAGCTTAGTTAATAACCGATCTCGATCGAAAGTCTTCCGAACTGATGTCGATTTTTCCGAACTGATGTCGATTTTTGACATTATTCGCAGTTCTGTTGAATGGGAGTCAAAAATCAATATCTGTACATACATTTTGGATTTAAGTATTTGCCTTTCGTTTTTAGTCTATTATTAGCATGCTAAGTGCCAAATAAGGACTATTATTACTATTAAGTCATCATTTAAACATTGAGAGCTACTATGATTAGGCGAACTGGACTTAAAGTCTCATTAGCGCCAACTAGTGAGAGCAAAAATGAAAATATTTTTTTGGCAAAAAATAAATACGTTTAAATTTATTAATACATTTTGAGTTAGCTAAATACTGAATAGAGGACGAGGTTAGGTCATCCAGTACCCATATCCATATGGTTATGGTCAGTTACCAAATATAAACCGATACTATAGTAGTATTTGTAAATTAGAGCCTCAGTACAAACTTGTTTTTATTTGATAAAAACATTAGCTGTATTCTATGATTCCACTAAGAGCTAAGCGGATATCAATCTTATTTCAATGTAAATAAGGCTTTTTATGTAATAGCTTTCATCCCATTATTAATTTTACAGATGACTGTGATTAGCTAAACTAGCTCTATATTGACATGCAATAAGTGTCAATTTTCTTTAGACGGCAGTATTATCACAAATAGCTTTTATTTGGACAAAACCAATGTGAATATTCTGTGCCGTGCTATAAAAGTTAAGTGTAAAAATATGACTTGCATCTAACAAGCTTGATATTTTTTTTGTTGATAATTTAGGTTACAGCATTCTCAGTATCCCTCACGTATATGTCTGCAAATCAAACCACCCTACATTGTTAATAGATATTCAACACTATTACAAACGAATAAGGTTGAAAATCGTATTTGACAAAGAGATTGGCTGATATGCCGGTGTGTTTAAATATTTATGGATTCCTGAACAGTGATTCAAGAAGTTCTGGTTCTGTGAGGTCCTTCTTATATTGCTGAGCTAGCTCCTGGATTAAGTGGCGACGGCGTACGTGTGGAGGTTGGTACCTGAAATATTTTGTTGTTTATAAAATAATGTTTGTGTAAAAATATAAGAATGAATGAGATTTTTTGTACTGATTTTCAATATTTGTATTATAGTAACATAACACAGAGGAGTATTATTATATATGTATAATATATGTAGTATTATGAGTATATAGATTATAGCGTGAACTGTTGTAAATCTTCAAAAAGTTGGACTATTTTGTTTTAAATCTGGATGAAAGTCAGATAGATGTATGTGATTAGAGTTTAAGACCTAAATATGTATTTTTGTATTATTATCATTATAATGATTGAGTGATTATGCAAAATAAGATCGCTACGTCTCGATTATATCGAAGACGTATGTTACGCTATAGTGGCGTGGGCTTAAAATACTTATAATGTGAAAGACGAAACGATACTGCGCACTTGTTTCCTTGTTACACTAACTGCCGATAAACTTACGCTTAACAGTATAAAGTCGAAGCTACTTACAGGTCAGTATTGAGCCTGGTCCGTCGCGCCGCGTCGATGGCAGCGCGGCGCAGCGTGGCGGGCAGCAGGCGGGGCGCCAGCAGGGCGCCGTCGGCGAGCACCCCGTTGGCGGCCGGCGCGCGCCCCCCCGCCCCCCGCGCCCCCCGCGCGCAGTGCACGCGCACGAGCCCGCAGCGCCGCGCCGACACGCACACCACGCACACCTCGTGGCGCCGCCACGGCAGGCCCGTCTCGCAGTATGGCAGCAAGTCGTCTAACGACAAGGCATAGTCGTCTAATTTATGGAACTATGTAGTACGTACAGAACGTTTGGCAATAGCTGGCGCCCATATAATAACCCATTTTTTGAGCCCTAACCCTCGTCTAAAAAGGTTTCAATCCAATAATATTCCACACACGTTTAATAAAATTATTGGCGTCATTTTATTAATTTGCTAGCGACACTCATGCACGTACTAGCGCTCTCTAAATAACATGTTTTTTTTAATGCAAAGCATAACAACGAATATATTTCACAAAGTATAGGTGAATTTCACTTCTTCCTTTGTTAAACACATTCTACAGACATACCTATCGGTAAGTTCAAGTGATCTTCAAAGTCTTCCAGCCATATAATGAGAATCTTAGTTGTATAATCTCTATTACGCCTTCCACTACCTAGAATAAAAATAAAATTATGTAATAATTATCAACTCTAAATTCCGCCCACGAATATTGGCTAAATGTATTGTACAGATTTTTTTAGGTTTTGACCTTATTGCTGAAGATGCTTTTATTCGTGTTAGTCCCGTCAAAGAAGTTGGAATTGAAATAAATCATTATGTTGTACTTAATTGAACGAATGTAGAATACAGTACCAGGTAGATGTGGCGCGGGTTGTTTGTCGAGGTCGAGTGAGAGCGCGCGCAGTTTGTCCCCCAGACGGCCGCGCTCGCCGCGCTCCGACTCCGACACGCTGCGCTCGTACGCCCCGCCCCCGCCCGCCCCGCCACCGCCCCCGCCCGACACGTCCCAGCATGATCCCGCGCCCTTCTCCGACCTGTTCAACAGAGTCACGATTAATTCAAAATCAAAATCATTTATTTCAATTAGACCAGAAAGGCATTTTTGAATTTGAATATATTAATAATATAATATTACACAATTTTTTAACCAATGTTAAAATCCGAAATCAATAGTTATGATGTCATAGGTGAATGGAACCAATAAAACGTAGACGCTTCGCAGAGACAAAAAAAAATCCCCTTGGAAGATGGTATTGTTTTCGGAAGATAGACAAGTTAGAATAAAAGTGAAAACACTTCGAAAACTGCACTAGTAGCATCGGAAATTCAAAAAAACAATTCATATTCTATCCGTTCACTAATCAGTAATTTAAATTAAAATCTGCCTTTACAAATCTTTTCCACTTACCGATTAGACAAGCAGGTACCATCGACATCAGACTTGATGCTGTCGTTCCGATCCTCGCTGTCCAAACTCTCTCGGCCCGACGGCACTACGAACGCTATCTCATTCGTGGAGTCTGACCAGTAGAGCACCTGATAACACAAGTGGTATTTGTATAAGTACTTAGTTTTAGAGACAACTAATATTAACAAGTAGATAAAAAATAACATATGACTTAGCCAAAATACTTATACGGCTTACTCAAACAAACTATTCGAGTACAGCTCAATTAATTTCAAGTTATACTGGGACTCATAATCATGAATGAATGTAGTCAAAAATCCTTACTTCATTATCCTTACTTATATTATAAATCGGAAAGTGAGTTTGTTTGTTTGTTCCGCCTTCACGCCGTAACTACTAGACCGATTGCTTTGAAATTTTGCAGACGTAAAGTTAGAAGTCTGGATTAAATAATAGGGTACTTTTTATCCCGGAAAATTGATATTTTCTAGGAAAAACAAAAATATTGGTATAGATGGCGCTGTATGTATTGGTATATGTCACATAGGCTACTTTTTATCATTTTGAAACGCGAGCGAAGCCGCGGGTAAAAGCTAGTATTTTATAATACTAAAATACATGACATGTGATAGGGTTCTTTAAATAACAAATCCACACGTACCTGTTCCCTAGCGTCGTACATGGCGGGCGCGGGCTCAGTGAGCGGCAGAGTGTCCGTGTGCGTGCGCGCGTCGTAGCTAGTGTCCACGTGGCCCGCCCAGCCCGGGTGGCCGCGGACCTGGACCGGGCTGCCTAGACTACGAGGGCAATAAACGACATTTTACTATTAAAACAGAGTAACTATACAGTTTCTTTACTTGTTTGTTCTTTTTAACAGAAATCTACAATTTAGAGTGAATAAAAAGCTTTATTAAAGGCCGAAATTAGCAACCAATTTTTGAAAATATTTGTATGAAGTTTCTTTTTAAAATCTAGATCCAGTAGTCAGAGATGTTGGATAACATCAGTTAAATTATCTTCGGTAGCTATCTACAGACTTTTTTAACTTGCCTTTATCCTTTATTGCCTTTATCCTTTCACTTAGATTTTAACATAACTAAAATGTATAGTGCGTTAGAAAAGACCATTGATTATTTAAGTTTAAGTTCGAAGTTAAGTAAAGTATGCGTTACCCCTGCAGCATGCGCAAGAAGGCGGGCGGCACGGAGTGGGGGCTGCGCGCGTTGGCGACGATGTGCGCGGCGGCGCGCTGGCCGGCGCGCGCGCAGAACACGTGCACGGTGACGCAGGCGCGCGCGCCGCACGCGTCCAGCCGCCGCAGCCCGCCCGCGAACCCGGCCGCCGAGTCGTCCAGCGCCACCAGGCGCCCCGGGGCCCCCTGCATGGACGTCATTACGTGTCACTCAAACGATGGGTTTGATCGACTTATTATATAAGTTCAATACAACTTAGGTAACTTTTTTCACTTCAGTTTTAGGCCTGTAATGTTTTTACCTTGTCCCTTCTAGATCTTTCAATATTTATACCGTACTGTTTTCTTATCATCCCTTAATCTCCGCATTTAAGTCAAATCTTAAAACTTTTTCGTCATGTATAGAGGTTATTCTGCTATAATGCGAAAATTTATTGATAACACTTTGTCAAAATAAGAATACCTTTTTATCGCCTCCAATGTTCAAATATCCGAAATGTGACAAAAACAGCCTGGCTGTTTGGAACTCTGTCACCGGTTCCGGTGGAATATACTCTTCTGGTACCTGAAATAAAGCAAAAACATCCGTATAAAATTCTGTAAACAACAAATGACCTGTCTTATGTACAACATACTTGAAGCTAATAATAACAAACAAAAAGTCAAAACCAAAAAGCAAAAAATAACTATTAATAGTACTGATAGGTTACCCACCCACTGATAGGTAAGCTTGCTTTTTGGTTTTGACTTTTTGTTTGTTATTAGTTTTTGGTTTTTGAAGTCGGTTTTTTAAACGCAGTTTTTATTTTATTATTTTACCATTTTCAGTGTAAAGCTACATATACCCGTCTTGTTACTTATAATATACATAGGTGCAAAGTTCTAATCAATACAAATTGTACAAGCTCAAACAAAAGGTAGTTACAGTATACCGTTGAGGAGTTTCCTTAACAATTACACTTCTTCATCATCAGACCCTTAATGACAGCCCCACTCTATTTAGGTGTAAAGTCCTCATTAATACAAATTAATCAAGCCCAAACTCAAGGTAGTTACTGTATACCGTTGAGGAGTTCCCTTAACAATTACACTTCTTCATCATCAGACCCTTAATGACAGCCCCACTCTATCTAGGTGTAAAGTCCTCATCAATACAAATTAATCAAGCCCAAACTCAAGGTAGTTACTGTATACTGTTGAGGAGTTCCCTTAACAATTACACTTCTTCATCATCAGACCCTCAATGACAGCCCCACTCTATCTAGGTGTAAAGTCCTCATCAACTGACTGTTGACTGTTCCTAGCATTTATATTTACGAAGTGGCTAAGTTTGTGAAATATCATAGTTATTTGTTCGTTGCTAACGATAATGCTAACAGACGCTTGATCACTCAGCTGCCCCTGAAAATGCCCATACCTAAACTGGAGCTTTACAGAAAAAGTTGTGCATATATGGCGCCGCTCATATTTAACTGTCTGCCCCGAGGAATTAGCGAGCTGCCATATAAACCGTTTTGTCGTGCCTTACAAAAGTGGTTGGTTCAGGAGAGTTTTTATTCTACCCGAGATTTCCTAAGTAACAGTAGCTGTCGGTATGCAGCTTTTTAAATCATTGTATCATCGTGCTAATCAGTTGCCTCCATGTTTTTTGACCAAAATTAATTATAAATTGCTAACCTGACTTCCTGATTTGTTGTGACTATTAATTTATTGACTTTTTAGTATATTACAATTTGACTACTGATACATAATGACATCTTAATTTTATGACATCTTTAATTTATTTTCTGACTTTACCTGTTTTAATGTATTTGAATTGTTTCCAATAATAATAATAATAATTTCAATATAATTGTTCATTAATGCGACATAAATTAATATTGTTAATACAATTTTATATTTCTACACCGGTAACGGTAGTATGTGTGGAACTCTGTTAATTTTAAGATCTGTGTGCACCATGTACTGAGAAATAAAGGACATTCATTCATTCATTCATTCATTCATTCATTCATTCATTCATTCATTCATTCATTCATTCATTCAATACAAATTAATCAAGCCCAAACACAAGGTAGTTAATATAAACCGCTGAGGAGTTCCCTCGACTGTCTGTCGACTCCATCATCAGGTCGACTCCAGACCCTTATCTAATTGTAGTGTTTAAAATTCTTAATTGGAAAACATAATAGACGCATTACTCCCCCATAGAATTTTCGAAAGTTCCCCTCGGTTTCCCTAGGATCCCATCATCAGATCCTGACTTCATGGAAATAATGGGACCATCTCGGGAGTACACCCTTTCAAACAAAACAAAAATTTTTGAAATCGGTCCACAAACGGCGGAGTACTGCGCGAACAAACAAAAAAAAAAAAAAAAAAAAACAATCAGCCGAACATAGTACCTCCTCCTTTTTTTGAAGTCGGTAAAAAGTCTTAGTTATCTCAGCTTACTCACGTTTCATCGGATCCCCGTTTGGTTGGTTTCGAGTTCAACCAGAACCCTTAATTATGAGCTGCGTACAGAGAGATCCGGAGGAAACCACATGAACATGATGTAGTGGTTCGGCAAATGCAAATAATGTATACTTACAACGTTGTCTTCGCTCTCTTTTACTCGTTTCTCGATGGCGGCCTGTTGTTCCAATAGTTTGAACAAGGTCGGCGCGTCAGGATCGTTTAGTTGTCGTAACACTGCTTCCAAACTCGGGAATGCGGAGTCACTGGAAATAGACAGGAGGTATTGTTATTTCTTTGAGTAACAACGATAAAGTTTGTATTACAACTAAATGAAATAATGTTTATTGTAAATATTATACTGGTTTATTTGGTGAATGCTCGACTGATTCCGAGTCATATCGAGGCGTTAGATAAATGTTGTAGTGGTACGTACGTGGCACAGGGCGGTGCATGTGGTAGAGGCCTGCAGGCGGGCAGCGTGGCGGGGCGTGCCTCCCTCATGTCGACGGGCCGCGCGCACGCCGCGCCCACGCCCCGCCCGGCGCAGCGGGCCGCGCCGCGCGCGCTCAGTGACCACGCGTAGCGACCCCAGCCGCAACGGATTATTACTGTACATACATTACCCAAATAGTTCATATATTGGGCTACAAAAGATTTTGTAAACCTCTATTTTTAGTTATTATGGGACAAAGAGCAAACGACCAAATGGATCACCTGATAATAAGCAATCAGTTCGGTCGGCAAGCATTAACATCCGCAATCCCATCAATCATTCGTATTGCACCCGCAACACTAGAAAAGTTGCAAATGCATTGCTGACCTCTGGACGGCGGCGTTGAGGGAGTCTATAAATACTAAAATCATTGCAACTGACCAATAAGCGTAGGCTGTGGCTCCTGGCTGTTACTGAGCGGTTCCTCCAGCAGAGACAGCAGTATGTTCCCGTCGGCCACGAAGTGTCGCAGGCGGCCGTGTCCCAGCGCCGACAGCCAGCGCTCGTCCAGCCGACACCATGAGGAACCATTGCCACCGTTCCCTATTTGCTACAATACAAAATTGAAATTGGAATTCAAAAGAGCTCATACAAACATGTTTGTACTGTCAAAACAGAATTACTCTCTGAGTCCAAAAAGCAGGCAACTGAACGTACCTGTTCTAAAATCAACATGAGCAGAGATTCTGCAGCATCTCGTACTCGCATGGAAACTGGCTTCAGTTCTTTCTCGTCTTTCATTTTCGGAGGCTCCCCGGGTTTTCCTGAAATGAATACTTTACCTTAGAATCGATTGAAGACAATCGCCATATTAACGTCATTTGAAGATCAAAATGTGTTGTTAAGTTGTATATAAATAAGAAATAGACCAAAAATGTCTTCGGTAGACTACTACAGACTAGCTGAAAGGGGCATGTTGGTAGAATGAACAAAGACCGCTAGCCAAAGATCTCGACTCTGTGTGTCGTCGGATATGCTCACTCCAAGCTCAAAATAATTTGAGTGAGCGCAAGATAACAATATAAAGGACTTGGCCTTGGCGACTGCCAATTATCCTAAAAAAAGTTTATAAACTAGTTACCTTGGCTCTTACTTCCAGAAATACCAAGCTCGACGACCTCCAAGAGAGTGGCGATGCAGTCCTGGTCGGCTAGCAGGGCGGGACAGAGCCAGGCGGCGAGGCAGGAGTAGGCGGCCACGACGCAGGAGTGCAGGTCGCGCGAGTGTGCCTGCGGGGGCCGGCTGCACTGCACCGTGATGTAGTCGCAGATCCAGCGCACGGCGCGCTTGCGCTCTATCGCTTCTGTACAACGTCGTGGGCTGGTGTTAATGTTAAGGTGTAGTCTATCGAAGCTATAAAACTATTTTAATTTTTAAACGACCATAGTGACCGAGGTGCATATGTATGTATCGTACGTAGAAAGTATTTACACTACAAAATTCTGGACATATTTCAATCATAGCTATGTTCAATTAAATATCAAACGACGACTTAGCAATTATGTGGTTGTAAAGTTAAGCATATCAAAGTTTATAAGCTCATAAACTTTTTCTATGAAGCAACAACTTACCGATTACAAATTCTAGGTAGCATGCAAAATACAACACAAATCGTTAATATAACATTTTTACAACAAACTTTCTCCCGATTTCAATTTCCTATCCAATAACATTCCTTAATGAAGTATGTATTTAGATGCAAACAACAGACAAACATTCAAATTATTTTAAGATACCTTCAATAAATAATTATTATTACATAAATCAAGACACAATATAAATATCTAAATTGTGCAACTGACCTGGTTTCGAAGAATGCAGCTTGGCTAGGCCAGAGAGTAGTTCTAGGGCTGCCAAGGAGACTTGCAGGTCTCCCTTCCAGGAGGAGATGAGGCGGTGACAGACCAGGTACGTAGCGCGCACCACCAGCGCCGCACCTAGTGGCACTCATACGTGATAACTTTGGATACAGAATTACATACACTTTAACGCTTTCCAAGTTTAAAATATTTTCTTTTTTTAACCATAGACTCATATGAGCATTTTCTCATATGTCAAACAAACATACAAATTCACATGCAAAATACACCCAGAGCCGAAACAATAATTTATAGATCAAACAAAGAATTGTTCAGGCGGGCTTCGAACTCGCGACAAGTTGTACAGCAGCTGATTGCCCAGCCACTGCGCCAACCCTACAACATTCATTATAAATTGAAATCAAAACGATAGAAAAATTCTATTAGCTTCAGAAATACATATTTGGAGAAGAAATATTAAACTCATAAACACAGTCAATCTGAAATAATATCACAGAACAATATTCACTGAAATATTTACTGTAAGTAAAATTAAATGACTATTGACATTAATAAAACAAAGTACATAATAGATTGAAATGAAATGCACTGTGAAATTACAAAACAAAACTAAAATTGATAATTAAGGCAAGCAAACTGTAAGACAAAAATGAAGCGGTTGATTAGTACATTGTACACTTTCAAAGTTAGGGATGATCACTTTTCGCCAAATGACATGACATCAACTTATTATAAACTTTATCAAGGGGTATTTACGATTAAAAATTGTTTAAAAGATATTAACTAAGTAAATCTCGTCAAGCGAAAAGGTGACCTACGCAAATAAAAGTCTACAATGTACCACAAAGGAGCAATGTATTGATATTCCCAATCTCAAATTGATCTACTAGCATTTCATTCATTGGTAAGTAAAGTTTGATATTTTCCTAATTATAAGTGTCAATATATTGCTCCTTAAGAATGCAAACAAAAAACGTGTGTAATTACCGAAAACAGGCGAGGATGGGTCTAGCTCCCTAACGTCAGCTGCGAAGTCGTCGAGCGAGTGACCTTCCGCGCTGCCCGAGCCACTGCCGCAGTCTGACCGCGCTACAACACCCACACATACATCCCCACCACTGCACGTACCTTGCTCACTAATCACCACCCATACACATTATATGGGGGGATACATAGCCTCGAAATAAATCTCGAAAATTTAACATCTCTTACAACCCAGGGATCGAACCTGCAATTGTGTGTAGCTGCGCCTGCGCATTGATGACGCATTTCTTTAAAACGTTGGCAGAATGAAGGGTTTTTTCTGTATAATGAGTGTCGATTTCAGCATTTTTGTTTTTAAAATCATTTAAATATGAGCCGTGTGTCAATGGTGACCCATTGACATGTCGGCTAGCGTTGATATGTTGGCTAGCAAAAAAAAAATGTAGCGTGTATGTGTGTGCGTTATTGTGATAATATTATTACATGTGTGTGTGACTGGATAGCAGTGGTTTAGCTGGACAACTTCACGAAGCTATGAAACTGGTGATAATTTGTTGATATGGTGTAAAATTAGAATTACTTTATAAACTTGATGTTTTGTTACAAAGTGATTAAGTACTCGAAACTACTGGCTTTGATTTTACTTATTAATTACAATTTTGTTATGATTTTTACTCAAAACTGTGTGATAAGATGTTTCAATGTTACATGAGACACTATACCGGGATCCACTGATCTATGGTACACGATTGATCATAAAGTTGCGAACGAATAGGCACTAATTAATTTATTATATAGTTTATGAGTAATTCAAGATTTCAGGTCAAATAATTAAAGGTTTTCTTTACTGTGAGTCAACACTGTTGCGCAAACGTACAAGTAACTGTATGCCCAATGCAAAAATCAAGTTTGTGCAATGACTGAGGATGTTATCGATCCTCATACCCGGAAACGCGTGAAATTATTGCGCAAAACCGCGCAACCCTAAACAGCTGCGCAACTATTCGAATTAACCAATATAAGTTTTAGAAATGAGCCTGCGACAGAAGAAAATTATTACAAAAAAATAAGTAGATCTCGGTATCAATGCCAGACTTAATAAGACGAATGTAGGTAATTTATAACAGTGGATTTGAGTGGTAATGAGCAGCTATCTAAAGCGACCTTTGTAGTCAGTGGTGTGCGAGGTGGAGGAGGGCGCGGGCGGCGCGGGCGCGGCGGCGGCGTTGTGGCGCACGCACAGGTACAGCGCGCTCAGCAGCGGCACGGCCAGCGCGTCCACCGTCTCCACCTGCACCGCCGACACGCAGATCAGAGAGATGCGGCCGCGGGTCAGCTCGCCCAGCGTCATGCCCGCGCTGGGAAACAAAATGGGCAATGTACTATACATTTTTTTTTAAGGGGGGAAAATCATCGAATGACTGCTCCCGCCTGGGTGAGGCGGAAGGGAGTGTCAGACTCTTACTGACTAAAAACCACCCCGTTCCTTCTCCTGCACGTCGAGCCGGAGGGGTTACCCGTCAGGTTCTCCGCGACATGTACTATACATATAGCAGGTCTAGGTATCCACGCCCCAGCCATCGCAAGAGGCACTCCAGGCGTCAAGGATCACGAGACCATCTCGGCCACCGTAAGCAGGGACCTGCGGACGACGAGCATGGGTGACTCGCCGCCCGATCAGAACCAAACCCAAGCGTGCGGCGCGTCGCGTTTTGCGCGCGCCTCAAGGAGCCATCAGACCACCATAGATAGGTCCCAACTGGGCTGATGCCGATACGGAGCCGCGAAAGACTTAACGGGTTGCCGGGGCTCCAGCTCCAAGTGCAGGATTAGGAACGGGATGGTTTTTAGTCAGTAAGAGTCTGACACTCCCTCTCACCTCACCCGGGCGAGAGAAGTCAGTGTATGATTTTCCCCCTTCAAAAAAAAGGTACCCATTACTAAACTTTTCTAAACTCTATCCTCGTTTGTATAATCACACCAACTCCTTAAAGTCCATAAAACAATTTTTCATATTACGACATATTTTTTTTTTACTTTAACTCTACCGACTACTTCGTAAAGGTATCAAAAGTGAGACCGGTTTGGAGACATTTGATCTTTTTAAATATGTTTATGAGTTTTGGATGCAACTATATTGCATCTAAAGTGACTTTAGGCTAATATATTCCAAAAAAAAAAATGTAAGGAACAAAATGTACTTACTATTCATTACACCCCGGGAACTCGGGAACCGGTAAGCCCTTGTAATGGTACGGAAACGCGACTAGGGACAGCAGCGCGCTGATGGCCGCTTTACGCAGTTCTCTCTTGTCTATGTTACCACACTCCAGTCTAGGCTCCCTTTCTGAGAGTATCTGGTCTAAAGCGTTGATAAAGTCTGGGACTAGGACTAAGACACCGTCCAGATCCAGCCTAGAAAAAGAGAGTAGTTTACATTACATTATGAAATTAATAAAGGTAGGTACTCTATAGATATAAAGGAAATTTATAAAGGTACTCTATAGATACAATGTAATTAGATGACTGAAAGATGTATTCCAGATTCGTATCTGGCGTTCTATTGTCTCTGCCTATCCCGAAAGGAGACAGGCGTAACTTTATTATGTATTTGTGTTTGTGTCGTGAAACAACGCTTGCGTTGTACTTGACTTTGTGAGCGAGGCTACCGGACGCCCAATCCCACTCGAAAAGCTGGCAACGCACTTGTAACTGCTCGTTTGCCCCTTTATACCATAAAAGAACAGTAAAATAAAATTGTGAACGGTACTAAGATTTAAAGATTTGTAAGACATTACCGGAAGATGTCAGGCGCGTTGAGTACGACAGCGGCGGCGGTGGCGGGGTCTCTCAGACCCCGGTGTAGAGCCGCGTAGCACCGCGCCAGGTACGGCGGGTGGACTTCCTCGCGACACTGCTTCGAGCACAGCACGCGACATAGAGTACCTAGAGCCTCCGCACGACCTGAACGATACATAATTACATCATCATCATCAACAGCCGAAAGACCTCCACTGCTGGACAAAGGCCTCCCCCTTCATAATTACATATTGGTACTAAATAGGGAGAAACCCCGTTTCTTTTTTTTTTTGCTTTAATGTCTCATGCAAGAAAGTCTTTTTTCCGGTGGAAGTGGTAACTATTCATATTTGTTCTCATTCCATTAATTCCATTTTAAATAGCTTACCTGGCTGGTAACTGAGCATGTTCAACTTGTAAGTGGCGTCAGACAAGGACGGTGGCGGGGGCGTGCCTTCCGTACGTTCTGGAAAGAAAAATATAGACAGACCATTTAAAAAAACAATCTGGTTCCAACAAAGTCGTTGCCGCGTAAAATGTGACGCTAGCAAACTGCGCAACATCGTACAATATAGCGCAACTTTGTCAGCTGATGCGCAACTCTAGTTCTTCTAACGACATGTTACCAATGCATGATGTACAACGTTGCTGAACAAGAGTGTTCGAGAGCCATGCTTCGATACGAATGGGCCGCCTCGACCGGAGTGATACCACGGCCTCACAGAAAACCGACGTGAAACAACGCTTGCGTTGTATTTCGCCGTGTGAGTGAGGTAACCGGAGGCCCAAGTGGGGTTACCCCCCTCCCCAGTCTCTCCAATCCCCGAATCCTCAAATTCTCAATTCCCAAAAGGCCGCAAAGTACAGCACTTGTAACACCTGTGTTTCGGGTGTCCATGGGCGACGCCGATCGCTTACCATCAGGTGATCCGTCTGATCGTTTACCGGCTTATGCCCTAAAAAAAACTTTTGCAATGACTTTCAACATATTGAGCAACATTTTGTGTAGCATGCACATTTTGTAGACACAAATGTATGCTTACGTTGGTTGTTGTATTGCGGAGTAGTACCAATGAGTGCCGCCTCAAACAGCCACTCTCCAAATAGATGCAAGATAGAGTTAACTTTCGGACGGAGCGGAGTTAATGGTGGCTTCTCGGATTCACCCACTGTAATGTACAAACATAGTCACTTAATTGTGTAACATAGTATTTTTCTTTTTAAGGGGGGAAAATCATCGAATGACTGCTCCCGCGCCGATCACTTCCTTGAGGGCACGGCGGTGCTCAGCGCACGCAGAGCATTGCGCTACCGTGTGTTCCACCGTGTCCTCAGGGCGGTCCTCGCAGTGATGTGTAACATAGTATAGATGCATTATACGGCTATATGTCAGTCAGCAAGTTCCGTTGTTACTTTGACTGTGTGATTGAGGTTAAGAGAGACTCAACACTCGCTCGGCCTTCCACTAAGGGCCGGTAACGCAGTTATCCATGGGAGCGGAATCCATGACCAACGCCGATTGCTTACCAGGTCCATGCATATCAGATGGTCCATGTGCCCGTCTGCTTGCATATCCCTTTATAAAAGTTTGAATGTCTATAACAGAATTTTAGCAATATAATGTTAATCTATTTTACCTTGAGAAGTGATAGAGTTGGGAGGAGTAGTGGGAGCTACGCTGGGTGGACGACTGCTTGTCAAGCCAATCAGCGAAGTGCGTGGAGTACCTGCACATACGCATACCATATTATATTACCCACTAAAATATTTCAATTACAACAAAAACCAGTACTACGACTTGTAAAAAGGGATAATGACGAATAATATGTAATATTTTATAATACTTTGTAATTTACTTAGTGGATGTCAAAAATCTCACAAATTAAAAAAATAATATTATGTAACAACCCAAGAAAACAAGGTTTCTAAACAAAGTGCACACAAAACTACGCAAACAAAGGAAAAAGGCAAAACCGAAAATCAAAGTACAAAACAAAAGAAAGAACGCACCACACACGAAATGAAATAAGTGCTTGTTTACATACAAGTGCAAAAAAACTGTACACAACTACTACATTAAAGACCGGTTCCACAGTAATGCACTATCTACGATATAAAAATAAACTATTTTTGTACACTAATTGGCAGTTATATTTATCAAAAACTGTGTAACTGGCCTTAAATCAAATGCAGTCTTACAACCATACTAGTTACCTAATATCTACATATCTAAATCTAATTGAGTTAAACATAAACTTTCAATACATAAATAAATATTAAATCTTAATTTAAAGTTCGATATGAAAACCATTTCAAGTTAAATTCGTGAGCAATCTTAACAAATATTGCAGAACTTGTAAAGAGCAGTTTTAGCCCTTAATTTCTGCAAATACAACAATAAAATTAAAGTATTAATTAATTCACTTATTTTTAAGTTTTAAAAATATGTCATGTAGAGTGTGTTTAATATGTGTTGCAGCTAATATTGGTCAATCAAGAGTATTGACACTGCAAGTTATGCCTAACAAAAAATGGTTTCCATAGACGACAATCTTACTTCGTTCGGGCAGTTTGTCCCGCGGGCGGGCGGCGGAGACGCTGAAGGACTTGGCGAGGCGGCGGTGCGCGGGCGGCGTGAGGTCGCCGTCGTCGTGGTCGGGCGCGCCCGCGCCGGCGCCCCACCACCGCTCCGAGCCGCGCCCTACACCCCACCGACTCACGTACTACTTATTGTACACTACTTAAGCTACTATATAGATACATGCCCGTCTACGTAACACAGTCAGTATACATTTGTTTTTTATCACGTTTCCCTGTTAAAAATGTTTTAACCTGTCGAGTGCCAACTAAGACATATTAAGCTATATTTATAGAGACAGTGTTTACTGTTCAGCTTTATGATATCCTGTAAAGCTTACACAATAAATCGAAATAAAATGTTTGTGAAAAAAACAAAAACTCTGATCCCATCTTATAGCACTTTTCTGATTCTATCCTTATGTACCACGTGGACGGGATTGTGCGGTAAAATTAACGATATGTAGTTCAATCCGTAGTTACGCTTTTTTATAATCTACGCGCCGATCTTGGTCTAGTTAGTAAAACCAAAAGATATTTTTATGATTTTACACAATACATTTGAATAGAAACCGTTAGCACTCAACGGGTTAAAAATAAAAACAGAGTAATTCCATCTTTATAGTGTAAGCCCCGTTTCACTCTCCCGAAATATAAAATATGTGCATTGAACATGAATAGAAAGTATAAGATAAGAGGAATATTGAAATGTGTAGAACACGAGGAATTCAGTCATGTAAAGTAATTTCAATCAAAAAGTGATAATTTGCATAATTTTGACATATTCACACAGATACAACTGTATCGGTCGTGCGTGACAGTATTAGGCTCATATTAAGGTTTTTTTTATTAATAGTTCGAGTATCAACTGAGTTTAAATAAAATAGTAGCACCAATAAATCAGTTTCAACACCAAAGCAGGTTACATTAGAGAAGTCGTGCTTCGTATTATACACGTGCTACCCACTATCATAATGCAAGGCCCATATTATCACCAAATTGATATTTATAACTTTAAGTTTAATTTTAAACTCCAACAGACACTTAATAAAACACATTTTTAAAATACAACTACAGAACTTACATAGCCAATCAAATATGGACCTTATTCCTTACACTATACGACTCAAAATGGAAAACCAACACAGTTTTAAAACCAGTAAGTTATTAGGCAATCCACACCACTAAGCTATGTCGTACGTACCTAAGAACGCGTCTACGTGTGCGGCTATACCCTTCATAGCTTTGTGGAAGATTGAGGGCAGGGCTTGAAGGCATGGATGCTGGCTTGGATCCCTGCTGCCTTCGTCTTGAGTTATAGAATACTGTGGATCGAAAAATAAGCAAAATATAAGTTCTTGAGATTGTCACAACTGATTACTCTTTTTGATTTGGACATTAGTGTTTGAAGCTGGAATCAACATACTACAGATTTTGGATTTTAATCGATTATTAATTGCGATCGTAAGAGATAAGCAGAGAGTGAGATTCAAGAGGAAGATGGTAGGATATTGGATTCACCCAAGTAAAGGGGCCAGTTCGAGTATAGTTTAGTTTTATAGTTTCTATCAAAGCTTATATTAAACTAATCAATACATTATTCAACCAAAAAATAACCATACACCGACTTTCTTTAAATACCAACCTTAAGTATTACGCACTAGAGTAAAATTTGCATCAAACCTGTAAGAAGTCAGGAGTCTGGCTGATGACATGTGGCCTGCAGAGGTCTACCGGGTTCCCGATAGTGTGCAGGATCCGGTACCAGCTCTGCATCACTGCTTCCGCGCTCATGTCCGGGGGAATCAGGTTGGCATCCTCCTCACCTGGACAAATAGTTTCGTTGTAAGTCATGTTTGCGGCTAGTAAAGAGTTTGATAAGTTATGGGTTATCAGAATTATCACTCAATCATTGCAGATGTGATTTTCAAAATCGAGATTGTTTCGATATGGTGGAACAAAATTTTATTATGTTTCGATTTGAACATTTTTAGTCATAAGGATTTTCGATTTTGAGCTCACAATGTCGCACTTGGAGGGTGTAAGTTTCTATTAGTCCATTCAGCTTAGGTGTCCTAGTTGGTCGACTAATGAATAGACATCAGCAAATATTGTGTTGGTCAATAGACCTTAAGTTTCACTCGAGGTGTTCTAGTGAAGGTGTCAAGCTTCAGATATTGTGTTTCGCGTTTCTGAATGTTTAATAAGTTATCGAGATAGTACAAAGAATATAAAACAAAGTAAAGCTACTCACTGATGGGCATGACGGGGAAGAGTGGTCCGTACATATGTTTGAGCAGCCTGGCGGTGAGAGCGAGCGAGGCGCGCGTCCACTGCTCCGTCAGCGGCGCGCGGTGCCGCCAGCGCACGCACTGCTCGCGCAGTGTACGCCACAGCGGGGGCGCAGGGAAACATCTGCGGGGCATGCGGCCTCACTCCGTGGCGATGAACTCGGTTAAATGTTATTCAATCGAATTAATCAATTTTTATCTCTTACGGTTACTGTCAGAGAAGACAAAAACGATCTTATTTGTAGGTTTCAGATGACTCTGACAGAACAACAGATAATGATCAAAATGAGAACTTTAATTTTCGGAAATGTTTGCGTTGTTTACAGCAATGGGAAGACATTTTACCGAAAAATGAGTATTTATTTGTCAGCAATCACCAGATTGCCGACTCCGAAGTTCGAATGATGTGAATGTGGTAGATGTATGTGATGTGTAGTAGTCACCTGTGGCAGGCCAGGATCCAGACCTCGAAGAGTACGCAGAGCACGCGCTCGCAGAGCTGCTCGGCGGCGGAGTGGTGCGGCGCGGGCGGCGACAGCAGCGCGGCGGCGGCGGCCAGCAGCAGCAGCAGCAGCTGCGTCCAGTCGCGCGCGCCCAGCGCCCCGCCCGCGCCCAGCGCGCGCGCCAGCCGCAGCACGCGGTGGCACAGCACTGCCTGCTTGCTGATCAGGTCCCCGCCTGCATGGGTGCACCCGCATCATATATTACCCGTATGTATCTTTGAGTTAAACTTCTCTTCTCTATCTTAAGTCCTAAGTTAGTGACAATCAAAAGGCATCTACTTCTAATTACCTATTTATTCAAAATTATTATTCCCTACCTTCATTCTAAGAGCTATTTTTTCCAGACCACATTCAGTAGGTAGGAGGTACAAGACATGTAGGACACCAAATAAACAAAACAGACCTACAGTACCTAATAGCCTACATAACGTGTTAATTATGGTATTGTTTGTCATTACACATACTTTGTTTTCTTTTTAGGTAAACCTATTGGTTTTCATTTAAATTGTTACATTTTCACTTCAAAGTTTGTTAAATTACCACTCACCCAGTTCCATTTGATAGATAAATGTGAGAGCTTGTAAATAAATATCAAATGATTATCCTTCAAAATTTAAAATGTACCTCTCATTAATTGACAAATCAAATAAATATAAACAGTGAACTCACTCTCATTAGGCCTGGGCACGAATAGATTGTGTAGATGTCTTAGTATTTTCCTGGCGTATTTATGCGGGGCGGCGGCGACGGGCGGCGGCAGCGCGGGCGGCGGCGGCATGGCGGGCGGCGCCGGCGGCAGCAGCGGGGCCAGCCAGGCGCAGCACACGCGCACGCAGTCTCGGAGCGCCTCGTGCTCCTGCAGCGGCAGCGACAGACCGAATCTGATCACCTCCAGCACCCACTCCACCTGGGACCATATGGAAATGCTCAAAATTTTATTATTTATTATTATTTATTTAATTCAGACAGGCAGTTGAAACAACTGATAAATGCCTGTATCGTATTTTTCTATCAGTGGTTATTCAATGTTGTGTATCTGTCAAGCCTGTTTTTGAACTGGTTAACATTCTGTGCAGCGATTACATATTCTGGCAGCTTGTTCCATGCTCCGACCACGCGATTACTCAGAAAGTGTCTGTGAGGAATATTTTTCGATAAGCTTTTACACAGCTTAAGGTGGTGGCCTCTAAGATGAACGTTTTTATTACGTGAGAACATTTGGTTGAAATCAGTAATGTCATAATGTCCACTCAAGATCTTGTATGTCTCAATTAGGTCTCCACGCTGCCTGCGATCCTTCAATGTGGTTAAGTTTAAAACCTTCAAGCGTTCTTCATATGGATGCTGTTTCAGTGCTCGTGGTATTTTAGTAAAACTACGCTGTACTTTTTCCAAGTGTTTGATATCCTTTGCGAAGTAGGGGCTCCAGACCTGAAATGCATACTCTAGGATGGGCCTGACGAAAGTTTTGTGGATCTTAAGCATCATCTCAGGAGTCAAGACACCAAACGCTTTCCTGATGAGGTATATAAGACTCTTGGCTTTCTTGGTGATCGAAGTTATGTGCTCTTCCCACTTTAGATCCTCTGTAATCTTTACCCCTAAGTCTGTTTGCACCTTGACCCCTGTCAGTTCAGCGTTACCCAGTTTATATGTCAGACGAGGATTACTGTTACCTATATGCAGTACCGTACATTTAGAAGCGTTGAGGTTGATGAGCCACTCCTTGGACCAGTTTGCTATTCTGTTTAAGTCCTCTTGAAGATGGTTATAGTCAACTGTCGGATCCGCAAATATTTTAGTATCATCAGCAAATATGCTGACTTCACATCTCAGGCAACTGGGAAGGTCAAATGTGTATATTATATACAACACTGGGCCCAATACAGACCCTTGGGGCACTCCGCTATGCACTTCTCGATGTTCTGATAACGTCTCACCGACTCTTACTCGTAAAGTTCTTTGCCGCAAAAAGGATTCGATCCAGCTCAGTAGTTTTCCGCGTATTCCCACGAATTCTAATTTCTGTAGCAGCCTACCTGTGGGAACTTTATCAAAGGCTTTTTCATAGTCTAAGTAGATTACGTCTATAGGTTTTTTTTCATTGAACTTCTTTGTCCATGATGACAGGCTCGACAGCAAGTTAGAAACTGTAGAACGATGCGGGCAAAAACCATGCTGCTGTTGTGGAATGACTTGATGGTTGGTGAAAAATTTCCTGATGTGCTTAACTATAATTTTTTCCATAGCCTTGCAAACCACACTAGTTAAACTTATGGGTCTATAATTTGAAGGTTCCAGTTTACTCCCCTTTTTGAATATGGGGGTGACTATAGCCGATTTCCATAGATCTGGCAACATTCCAGTATCATAAGACGTTTGCATTATCATTGCTAGCTGCTCCGAAAGGTCACACTTTTTGAGTAATACAACAGGTATATCATCTGGTCCCGGTGAAGAATCGGTTTTCATTTCTTTGATTACTTGCTGGATTTTACTTGGAGTGAATTTTATTGCTTCAATGGATTCCTCAATTCTTAGTAACGGGTTCAATATAGGTACTTGATTTATTGGCTCTATTTGAAAGACACTTGCAAATTGCTCCCCAAATACGTCAGCTATTTCTTGAGGCTCGATTACAGTTCGACCTTGCTTGTTTAGTAGAACATTTGGGATGCCAACCTTTGATGTTACCTGTTGCCTGATGTAGGAGTAGAATTTTTTTGGCCCAGCCTGGAGTAAATTAGTTTCGTATGTTATACGTGCTGTTCGAGTTTGGTTCATCAATTTGTTATTTAATTTTCTGTAATCTTTGTAGTGTTTATCAAGTCCAGTTAGTATGTATCTATTCCACAATTTCAGTTTGTCATTTATACATTTCTTGGACTCGTTTGAGATCCATGGTTTATTAATGCTTTGCTGGTTCAGTTTCGTCCGGGGTACATACAAGTTGATTGATTCCCTGATTGTTTTAAGGAGGATCTGAAACTGGCTCTGTACACATATTGTGCCTCTCATGCTTCCAAACAATTCAGTGTGTAACATTTCATTGATTTTTTCAAAATCAGCTTTTTTGAAATTTGGCCTGCCATTGGTTTCCTTCTTTTGTGCCTGTGTTTGTATTTGTATATTTGCTAGGAGGCAGGTATGATCGCTTTTACCTATCGGTGCCAGGTGATCGATTTCAGCTATGAGTGATTCATCATTTGTTAAAACAAGATCTAGAAATGATGGTTGGTTTCCTTGTCTATATCTAGTGTGTTTGTCTATTATCTGCTGAAGGTTGCTATCGTTGTACCATTGTATGAAGTTGTTTTCCCGAGGTGAAACATATCCAGTATCCCGTAGTGGCCACTTCACACCGCCGAAGTTGAAATCACCCATTATGACCACTGTGTTTGTCTCAGAAACTTGGTCAAGTTGCTCCAATAGGCTATTGTCCTGGTCCAGTGTGGAGTTGTGTCCTCTATATAAACCACCCAGTAGGAATTTGGTATTTCCAATTTTGACTTCAAGCCACAAACATTCAGAAGCCTCGTGTTTTTTATTGTAGGTAATATTTAATTTTGAAGTCATAAAATTTGTTGTATTGGAAGCATATATCGCAACACCACCGCTGCGCCGGAGAGTCCGATCGACCCTGTACAAATCATATCCAGGTATTTTTACAATCGAGTCTGCTATGTTAGGTTTGAGCCATGTTTCAGTAAGTATTATCAAAGTTGGTTTCAAAGTATTGACTCTAGCGATTAACAAGTCCAGTTTAGAAGTAATTGATTGAATATTCGTATAAAGTATAGTAATTGTGATAAGGGTAGATATTTGCGGTGGATTAGAGAGTACGTTCACCTTTTTAGTTATTAGTTTTTTACAGATTTGGTTTTAATAATCGTTGGGTGTCCACGAATGTATTTTATAGTGATATCTGCCTCCCCTTCGTTGATGCGTTTCTGTAGTTCTTCGCGCAAGTTCTTTAAGTACTCTCTGCATGGGTGTTAGATCTGATGTAATAGATGTGGATTCTCTCAGCTTATTCCTGTTGCGAAGAACCTCCATTGCGTCCCTCTTGCTGTGTAAGACAACCTTCAGCGGACGTGGTCTTGCGTTCCCGCCAGGCTTGGGTGCGCCGAGGCGAAACATCTTTATCCCGTTACACTTTACGTTATTAGTGACAGTTTCTATAATAGTTTCGCACTCTTTTTGGTCATGTTCTTTCCTCTGACGAGCCACTTCACTGGTTGATTCCGGCACATCATAGATAATTATGTTGTTAGATCTGTTTGCCCTTTCCGTCATCTCCTGAATAGCAGACTCGGTTACAAGCATGCTCTGCCGCAAACGTAGTTGTTGTACTTCCTCGGTGAGTTCATTTAGCTTATTCAGGATCATAGGCAATTTGCACATTACAGACCGGCAGTCACTACAAAGAAAAGTCATGACACGAGCAACTGTTTTCAGCTCAAGGACGCGAACTTCAGTTGGTGATAGGCCATGACAGTCTCCGCACAACACAACCTTGCAAGAGTCACAAGCGACAGATGCTTTTTTTTCATTAGGCGTTTTATTGCACTTTGCGCATTTTTCTTGAGAGTTAGGGATTTTTTTGGAACTCATTTTAGTAGTTAGTATTTTTTTTTTTTTTTTTTTTTTTTGTTTAAGTATTTGATTATTAATATTTCTTTTTATGTATATACGGAGGAAATATTATTGTGCCACTAGCAACACCAAGACCGATTATTTGACATGTGTCACTTCTGTCATTGAATTATATAATGTTAATAACGAGGGTAGATTTAAATGTTGATTCACTTGATGTCAAATGCAGATTGTTTTTCACTTTTCCGGGTATATTTTAGTATTTTACGCGGAGATAGCACTAGCACACAATCCACATATATTGTCCAACACTATAGTATTACTTTTGTTAAGAGTTATTCACTTTTAGGCACTAAATTTATTTTTGATTACGCGAAAATTTTTCTATGACCGCCAACACCAAAGTCGAGATGACAGATCAAATTTGATCTAAAAGTTAGCTGCACAACACTAAAAATATTAGGTGCAATTTTAGTATATGCACGGCCGAAGCCCTTTATGTTGATATATCATACCGCAAATTTGTTCATACTAAAGTAGTCTCGAAACATAGGAAATAAGGTCTACAATGGAGTTAGTTGAGGGCAGTCACCGGTGACGACTTGGGGTTCAAACAGATAAAGTACTAACATAACTACTAAATCAAAACCACCCAAATCACTGTACTAAAGTACAAGAGGAACAAACAACTTTACTTAAAACCAACTAATATACACATTTTTATAGACAAAGGTATGTTCTGTTCATATAATTTAAAAAGCAAATTTTATTTGTAGTTGAAGATTGCTGCAGACATCATTTAAAGACATACCTCAGCATCAGTGGTGAGTGGACTGGGTTCATGTGAGGCTAGCTGTTTGACCACGGCCAGCACAACGTCCCTGCCACCGACTGCGCCCAGCACGCCCCGCCCCCCTCCCTCCAGGGGCAATGAACTCCACTCGGAATACATGCCACCGCTATCTTTATTCTAGAAATAATTTAAGATCATTTTCAGTATTACGAAATAAACACAATAATTTATATATAACAACACAGTAATAAAGGTGTTCAAAGGACAGATTGTGTGGGAACTGATGTCAGTTCCCATAATGATGGGGTACATAAGCATATACCAAACTGTAGTATCTTATAAGACAATTATTTTCAGTTTTTCCATTATTGTGCTTATTAGAAGACTATGAGTAGTTGCCAACAACTCTGTTAGAACCACTTATAAAACAGTCACATAATACACTGTAGTACTTCCAACAATAATTTAAATATAAACAAACAAAAATTATAGGTGAATGGATGGACATTAACAACTTCTATATGAATCCTCATAGCTACAAGTGCAAAGGGTAAATACATCCTTTTTCTCTTTGGAAATGTAACAATGATATAAGTATTATTCAGAAACAATAAGGTTGTGTTACTACTTCTTCTGATTCACACTTGACTGTAATATAATGCATAATAAAAGATAATTTACAAATAATTTAATTTTGTTTTGTAAATATAAACATTCATTATTACAATCACTGAGTGAGAATGTTCAAGTGTACACTACGTGGGCTGTAATTAATGCTGAAATATCAACATACTGAAGAATGTATTGTATTCTTGGATATCTAATAAATATGTGAATAGAAATAGTTGAAACACAAACCATTGTCTAAAGATCAGTATAGGCTTTATTCCTCGTATTTATATATACACATAAGTTCCGTAGTTATTTAGTTAAAAATAAAACCAACTTACAGGGTTGTTGACTCTATTAAAGATGGTCACATTCATAAATAACACTTAACGGTACCCTGAGTAACGGGTCACTATTTTCCTCAACCAAAATCAGAAAAACATTATATTTAGTAAATGCTGTTTGACTTAAATTTATTCACTTTATAAATCGCGAATTAAATTCAGAAATTGAATGTTTTCCTTCCTTGCTGAGAACAACTATATATGAGAAATTGAAACTTAAAATGGAAAGAGCGAAGTAGAAATATATAGTTCATGTAAGTGAAAGAGAGAAAGAAAATATTTTGACAGTGCAGGAGGCGTATTTTGTGAGATGGGACGTCATTGTCAGATGATGTTGACGGTTCTCATAACAGATTCAAGAGCGTTTTGAAACGATACTTACTCGTTCAAGATTTATTAAGACAATTAAACGGTTCTATTTTATTTCACTTTTTTTAGAATGCTGTTGTTTTCATTTTACTAACGCAGTTATTGAAACTTGTTTTACGCTAACTTGTATCTCGCAACTAAGTTTTCAACGTCCTTACTTGCAAGTTAAAGTCAGGGGGAAATTGATAATCAAAACCTTTTTAAACGTCTTTGATCCCTAGATCCTAATTCGAAAATATTTATCAATATCACAAACGTATGGAGCCTAATAAATAGTTTCTTGATGGTATAAAACGAGTCACATCATTAATTTTTTTGGGAGATACACTAACGTGAACATTCCTATCTGCTATACCTGTATGAGCAGGTGCATGAATGTGATGGAAGCTAAATAAATATGCACCTAGGGTAAATACTAAATGTAGTAGATAGGACTTTGTAGCATCAACCTATACTTGCCATTATACTTATTTATTATACTCTTTGATCCCTACACACACATACATAATAACAAAAAAGGAATACACTTGAATGTTCTTATATTTTATTGGTATAAAAATGTTAAAATAAAAATAAAAGTTATGGTACATTGATAAACATAATTTAAAAGCAGTTAAAAAGCATATGATTATTGTTTGTTTCTGTAATTAGATAAATGAAGAATAAATTATCTCAAACAAAGAACAACACAAATCTTTTAGAGACCTTAGTTCGAGAATATTTGCACTTATTAGGAAAAAACAATCTATTGTCTCTTAGGAATCATAAACAATACATATTTTTATACAACATTTTCAGTAAATTAAGTACATAATTTAGTAAAAATAAACATATTTTGATTTGACATTGAATATCACATTGCACATATTATTTGGGGTCAGCTTCACAATGACTGATGAAGGTTTCCATCGGGCAAACAGAAACATAGAGAAACAGACCCTTAGTTTACTACAGCATCAAATTTTAGAAACTCACTAATTAGATACCTACAAATATTATTTATTTTTTATATGTACAAGACTAGACATCCTAATTAGGAAAATCTTCGCACTGATACTGTTGTACTCCATTTAATTATGGCCATCATTTGCTAAGCACCCTCTGCAACTGGTTTAAAATAAACAAAATATCTATCATTTAACTTATCTAATAAATAGAGTGATACAACAGAATCAGAGCTATAAATAATAATTATTCTTTTTAATTAGAAAAACCAGAAGCACCAGTTTATATATAACAAATCACAGTATTTTTCCTCTATCATTTCAATTTACACACTAGAAACCCACATGTTACTGTTAGTAGGTACCATTATTCCGACCTTTGCTTATAAGATAAAACATGTTATTAAAGAGAATTGTTTGATAAGCAGCTCAAGATAAGTTACACTGAAATAAAGTATGAAATTGTAGGCATTTATGTAGCAACATTCATTGATCACCGCCTGCTGCCTGTTCCTTTGAACGGACAGCTTGTTCATATCGTAACTTCCACATGCTTACATGTTCTTCCAACTCTTTCACTCTGCTTTTCTCTGCATTCAACGAATCCTGCGCCTGTTCCAGTTTAGTTTTGAGCTCTTCAGTTTCATTTTGAGATGAGGCATCAGGTTTAGCAGCCATAACAGTACTCTTTGCAAGCTTTACTGTAGCTTCTGCCTCTTTTATAATTTTCTCAGCCTTTTTAGTTAGTTCATCCTGAATTATTAACATGTTGACTAGCCTACGAATAACAAAGGCTAGGAAAATCGCAAAGCCTGTTATGTAAAAGTTTCTCTGAGCTCTAAACAGCTTCACACTGCCTTTTAATTCACTTGCTAAATGAATATGAGCACCAGCATCTCCAGCGTATTTCCTCATTTCTCTTATGGCATCAACCAGGAATAAAGTTAAAACACCTAACAACACATAGAAGTAAGCCCCAGCATGATGTTGCACCATAAAAAATAATCTTGACTTGAAGAACTGATTCCATCTTCTAGGGCTAAATATAGGCAGCATCATTATGATGACGACAGCGACTTCGAAGTAGAGGAAGCCAGCAATACATGTCCATTGAATAGACATTGTGTATGAATTTATTTTACCGGCCGGTATCTGAGAACTTGAGCACTATTTTAATGTTCTTCAATTTTCTTCTTGTTTTCCCTCCCTTTCCCTTTTGGATTCGATGATTTTAACAAAATTTCAGTTGAAGCTAGGTATAATTTTTATTTATAATCTCGTTTGTACGTAAACTAAAATAACTTTGATTGCTAACTTTTTTTGACAATAAATAGGCACATATTTGACATTTATCAAAACTGAGATATCATAGTCAATTTTTTTTAGATAGTTTGTAGGTTTGTCTTGTTTTGTAGATAGTAATCTCCGTATATTAATGTTAAAGGTAAACTTTGGTTAAACTTATCCTTTATTTTAATTCAGAAATCTGATTGGGCCACGTCAATGACATTTTATTCATATTATAAAAGGTATTTGGACTTGGTTGTAAATTCGACTAAATACCTATTATCTTATTTTGTGTTCATTAGAAACTTTTAGTAAATTCTGATAATAATGATATGTTGTCTATGGAACAGACATTGGCATTGGCAACATAGAAGAAAACAGTCATAGAGCCTAAAACAGCAACTGTCGACTGTCATGTCATGTCATTTGATCAATGTTAGGAAAATTGATAGATTAATATTATTTTAGATTATATTCCACAGTAAAGTAATGGCGAGTATAGAACTAGATATTTGGCGAGGAGAATGGGGCCTTGCCTCTATAGATTTAGAATGTCTAAAAGTTTTAGTAAGTATTTTTGATATAACCTAAAGTGACCTAATGAACCGGCAGAATTCTTGGTATTTTATTGTTTTGAATTTTCCACAGACCTACATGAAATTTATTGGAGTACCTGTAAGAGTTCGAGAAGCAAACAATCCATTTTTCACACCCAAAGGAAGGCTCCCTGTCATGAAGGATGGACGCAAGCTACTCACAAATTTTGAAGAAGTTGTCGATCATTTAAAATCCTTGGTAACGCCATAATTTCTCGTTTATTCATTTGTAATTTATAAAATAATTAAAGTTTCTCTTCGTTTCATGGGTTATTGCTATAGTAATTAATCAATTTTAATGTTCAATATAATGAAATATTACATCATGTAGCTGCACAACCTATCAAAGTTTAACACTTCATTTTTATTGTTTTTGCAGCACTACAGCACAGATGTACATTTAAACACTAAGCAGGCAGCAGAAGCTAGTGCATTCACACAATATTTAAGGGAGAAACTTTACCCTGCATACCAGTACGCATGGTGGGTAGATGAAAAGAACTATTGTGATCTAACAAGACCAACATATGCTAAAGCACTTTGTATACCCTTCAATTTCTATTATCCATCACATTACCAGAATGCAGCAAAAGAGATGATTGATGCTTTATATGGAGAACACACAGATCTAAGGGAAATTGAGAAAACAGTAAGTGTAGGAAATTTTATTATTTATTTACTTAATTGATTAGAAAATTATTGATAGTGATTAATCTATTTTCATACTTATGATACAGTCTAAAATGCACTGGAATATTATTTTCTATAATATTTTTAGTTATTTTCTGGAATATAACTATAATATAACTACTTTATTTACTCACTTGATTATTAAATGTTAATTAACATATGCATTATATTGTGTATCATTACAGTTATACAATGAAGCTGAGAAGTGCCTTAAAACATTATCAGATAGATTGGGAGAGAGTGAATACTTCTTTGGTAACAGACCTTCATCATTTGATGCCACAGTCTTCGCATACCTTGCACCACTCGTGAAGGCACCATTTCCTAACGCCACACTAGCCAATCACGTCAAAGGCATAGCTAACCTCTCCAGATTTGTTGCTAGAATTAACCAAAAGAATTTTAGACATGTTACCGATGGTAAGTTCTTTGTTGATGTAATTCTTACAATGTAAATATGTGTATGTGAACTTGTATGTTTGTAAACGCACCCACGACACGGAGAAAATCCTAGTGTGGGGCAACGTTTTTAAAAAAAAAAAAACTATAAACTGCACTTTGAAAGGCAATTCTTAGATCAAGTATTATAATAGATTAGCACCTATTATTTCAAGTTATGTTTCCTATTGTGTAATGGGAGTAAACCTATTATCATACATCTGTAACAAGAGTAGACTCACTATTTCTTTACCCAACCAGAGAATCTAGTTCAAAACCCCTTATTTGTGATCACTTGACAGTTACCTTACTAGACTTATGTTTTTTATTTCCAGAATACAATAGACTGAATGCCAAAAAGCAATCTACAGGCACACAATCAGATCGTGAAGCAGCTAACTTCCCAAATCAGACCCGTAACAAGATCCTTGCAGCTTTATTTGCAGCCATAGCTATGACAGGATATGCAGTCGCAAACGGCATGTTCCAGGTCAGTAATCTCCACTTTGCACCTAGAATAACTTCACCGGAAAACATTCTGGAGCGTAAGGCATTCTATTGGGCGTGAGAGAATCTTTAACATAAATTTAAATAACAACGAAAATTAGATGTCTGTCCATAGAGTGCATGTTCTTTATGAATGCTGATATGCATGCAACTAGTATTTTAGACTTCAGAGGATGCATTATATTATGTTCTTTTGTTATTGTACTTTATTTTCAAGTATTTGTGCTGTGGATTGCTGTTTTATAGCTATTGCATAAGGCTGATATGATTACTTGATCTCATTCCGAACTTAATACTTCTGTTGCTTGAGCTGATTAACTTTGCTTTGCTAAATGTTGTGCATGATCAAATTGATCATTTATTTATCAGTTTTATCATAAATGTGAACAATTTCAGATAATCATATTATTATTTTTATTTTAAAGTACTAACCTACAGGATAGTTAATATCTTGAAACAAATTGTTTACATTTCTGCATAACTGATAATAAGAAATAAACTAGGTAGTGTCTGCCTCAAGTTGTATTCTTATTCATTCTCACAACATATCATTTTGTTTGTTCAGGACTTCAAAGATTATGAAAATTCGCGAGAATACAACGACATGTTTGAGAATGATGAAGACGACAACTGACGCTGAGTGCGGCTCGGGGGCGCGCGCACCCACGCCCTGACCACGCACACACCAACCGCCAACATACTCTACGTCCTGGCGACTCTTATACTACACCGTGTATTGCGTCTGAGTATAGAAAACAATTTAGTTTTAGACTGGACGCAGTTTTGTACTGCACATATTTTATGATTATGAGTGAATCAGACGCTGTACATATAAGTACTTACTAATAAATAAATATAACTTTGCACAAATATGGAAGTGGTCTCGAGTTTTATATAAAAACTGCAGCAGTGTTATTATTTAGTGTTGGCGGTTTATATAACTTAATTACTTATTCTTCTTGCTAGTCTAGCGTTAGTTGTGGCTTCTAGTGACTTGTAGAGACTGTGTTATGTTCCTGATTTATTGTATTGACATTGTGTCGATTATGTATTATACATTGTTATTGAATGATTCATGAAATTATTAATGAATGATAAATTGTATGCTACACAATAAAGTCACTATAGACCACTGTAGTTGTCTCAAACATGTGTTAAACATATCCACTGCATTTAGATATTGGTTCTTAAAATGTATATTAATATACTTGTTATGAATGTTTCAATGTTTGGTAGTCCATCTGACTATATTATCCATATTATGTTTATATAATTGTTAATTAATGGAGATTTATTGCCTTATAGAGCCAAGAGTGTCATAAAGTTCCTACTAACTATTGAGATTTATATATTACACGCATTTTAGTAAAATGTTCTTATTATATGTGCACCCAAACATTGAAGACATTCTGTCCATTAGCTGTGGCTATATTTTTATTAGAAAACAAAGCAAGTAGAGGTTTTGGTTTTATGAATGAGAATTTATTTGTTGGTAGTTTAACTTGTTACGTTAAACGTGAATAAAATGTGGTTTGTTGATGTTGCATGTTTCATTTTGTAACTATTTTGTGCAGACTATAAATAAAGTGAATATAGGAGTCTGTAATTCTGGGGCGATAACATTTTATACTAATGTTTTTTATTTTCTATATTTTCAACAACGAAATCTTAAATGAAATATTTCATATTGAATATTGAACACCTTATTGCCTTTTGAAGAAGCACTTCGACTTGTCTACAAGTCAACAAGGCGTCTATGAAGATGCTTAAATACTTTTCAACTTCTGATATTAGAAACTCATTGAATTTAATCCACTCTAACAATACAAGAGAAGTGTTGCATATGGTTAAAATACATTATAAACAGCATGTTTCTAATTTAATGATAAAATTGGTTGTTTCTCTCTCTTCAAGTGACCAAGTTTTAGAAAAATATTTGGAATAACCTACTTCCTATTTACTTATTCCTATATTTTCATAAGATACTTAGTACGAAAGTTTTTCAACAGCGCTGGGCAACGTGGGGCTGGCAACGCACGATGCTGGTGAACAAGTTTCGGATTGCCAAGAATCATTACGACAAAATAACGAAACTAAAGGCGGCTAAAGCTAAGGACGACTCTAAACCATTATAATTCTTCTTAGTTTTAATCAAAGTGATATCTATCCAAAAACAATGATAATTTCCGGAAAATTGAAATATTATTTTGTAAGTGTAAATAGGTATATCAATAACAATTCCTACTCTATTAGGAAAACACTCACAGGATGTCTCATGAGCGCGACCAATGGTATCAGCTATCAGATCAACAGGATTTCCTAGTTATGTTCTATGTGGCAGTTTGTGGTGAGAGGCGACGTATCACTTAACATTTTCTTATGAAGGCGACCAAAAGCGACCATGACATTTCACTGTAGATACTTCTTGATAGAAAAATAAATGAACCTATCGTATCGAGTCACATCTCACCGCAAACAACTACATAGTTTGCGTCTTGTAGTATTAGAAAGAGCTCATGCAAGATACTCCATTATTTCTAAACTGTAAATTCATTGTCAAGAGGACGATAGGTCTAGATCTTATTATAGAACTTATTTTACCTGTTATTTCCCCGACAGGGACAATTTTAACCGACTTTATTATAGCCTTAAAAAACCTGATTAAGGTACAAATTTTAAAAATATAAAATTAATTCAAATTAGAGTGTTCATGTGTTCCTAAATATAGATATTAGTATTTTTAATCGTCTGAAACTACGTTATGTATTGATGTGTATTGTGTACTGTGTAATTATGAGATGGATCCGGTAGACTAATCGAAGCTCAGATTTTGATGATGATTTATGGCTTGTACTATCGTGCTATGGGGTCTGATAGTTCGTAAATATTAACTTTTACCTAGTACTTAATATTGTGCAATATTGCCTAAAGTAAATATTATGTAATGAGATCTGATTTTGTGAACATTTGCATGTTTGCTATTCCAGGGAATAAATAATAATAAGCTGGTTTAATTAGCCAATGGACGTGTGATCCGTCCAACAGAGGTAACATTATATAACCATAATAAGACAGACAGACAGACAGTCTTTATTTTTAGCTCTAAGTATTAGCCGACATTACTTAAGTTATAATTGTATATTTTTAAAGATTTTTGACTTGATAAGTGTTTATTGTGATTTTAAAAGACAAATTATGTACCTCTTATAAAAAAGACATGTAATCATATATGTATATTATGCAAAACTGTCGGATGTTTAAATAAAACGAGCACATCTCGTAACTCCTTTATTCCTCACATTTGAACATTAGCGTGTAACAGGTACACTGATAATTTGGTACGAATAATTTCAACATACGATTTGGACAGCACTGGGATACATGATTCTACTACTTATTATATGGAATATTTTTGATACATTTATATTTTTTATTAAAAAGTCAAAAGACGAGATGGCACTGAATTTCGGCGAGACGGGGATTAGTCGACTGGCAAAATCATTCTAGACATTGCATTCTTACATTAAAACTATGTGGCTACACTTTCACTATTGTAATCGATTACAAAATCGACTAAGCTATAAGTAACATGCATCCCATCTCTCGTCTGGTACAAATATTCCCATCGTGCAATGTTTATGAAACTATAACCGCGTGTATTAATCAGTTATATTATTAACAGTTCGTAAACTTATAAATTACATAAATATTCGCTTCTACACGATAAAGTTAATTATACTTACAACAATACTGCGTGTTTGTTCCAACTTGATCAAGTTAGATAGGTCGTGGTCACACTGGGCTAGTCAATGATAGCACTCTTACACAAGGATCACGGCCTAACAGGCAGCCAATATTTGAATTAGGTAACAAGAATAAGACCTACAAACCAAGCAGAAAACGCCTCGGAATGCTATTTGCAACTTTATTCATATTGGTACTAGGTTGATATCTAATTACACCTAAAACCTTGACGATTTTTCCGCTTGGCCTGCATTTCGTGACAATATTGTGATGTCGGATATTTTGCATATATCAAACCTAGTCAGCAACTTGTATCGAAAACAGTAAAGCATGACGACTTGAACATTTGTTCGTAAATTACTAAATGACGTCATAAACTTAAAAGTATCGACAGCAAGCCACTGATTGGTCGACCAAAACAATAACAGCCAATAGGAGTCAACATTATATAAGAATACAGAATTATATAGGAATTTCTTAATATAATCTCAGTATAAAAAGAAACATCGCATAGACTTGTACTGTTAATAAAGATAAGTGAATACATTGTATTCAACTGACTAACTACACCACAACTATGTTAGTTTATAATATGGACATAAGATACACGTTAACATAACATTCTCAGTTCGATACTACAGCTGAACAGTTGTCTAATACATCATAATCATTATAATTAATAAGGAAATAAATATTAAAATAACAAAGTTCTTAAGTAAGCGTTGAAGCTGCCATATTTACAACATAAACAATGTTTTATTACAAGTTAGATTTGGTTTTGTGTCTAGTTAGTAAGACAAAGTCGGGTGTCTTAACGGGTAATGAAGTGTACTAGTGTGTGCTGTGTCCCCGGCTACAGTTTAGTGGTAACAAGGTACTTATTCCTATATTACAAGACCTATTCACTATGCGACAGCTCGCTGCCATATGTATCAACTAAATACATTCTGTCTGCCGGATAGTGAAAAGGTATCTTTCAAGAGACATTAAAACGAAGTAAGCTCTGTTAGTATTCAAGCGAAATTCAATAATTATATCAATCTGCTATAATGGAATAATTCAGGAATGGCCCAATAACGTCTGCGTGCTCCACCACACACAGACAGACATATAATTTCGTATAATTTTAATGGTCACACCATAGAACGATAGTTTATAAAAAATATAACTATTATTATTAAAAAATTGGAATATACATTTCTCAATCAATTCCTTTCCATAGGGAACTTATAAAAATATGTTTAATAGTGACTACTAATATATACAGCTTAATTATTATGTACGTCTTATTGTAACACAAATATATTAATTTATCTCATAGTCCACAAGATGGCGGCGGTGCGCCCCGCTAAACTAGGAGCCTTGATCGATTTATAGACTTGTTCTACATATTATACAATTCACTGCTGACCTCTCTGTTACTGTCTGTGTGATTAGAAAACAGGAAGACTACATTTATAATATTTTACTAAAAAAAGTGTTAGTCAAAGTTTGTATAAAATCATCCATACAACATAATAAATGGATGTAACATATAAATATATTTTCATACTTTAAAAACAAAGTCTATCCATTTCAGTACTTCATTAACTCTCGATTCCTTCATCAAATTCGTTCAATTCGAGTCATTTTTTTCTACTACCATAATTTACGTGAACTGGCAAGTTTTTAGTATACATATTATAGACAGACAAGTTAACATTCATACAATAAGTATTTTGAAGGCATTCGTAACAGATTTATGAAGACAACAAGCGACGTGAAGACGTCCTAAGTGAACAATATCAAATATATTATTAAAATTCAACAAGTAATTCCGCTAGAAGCGACGCTAGTTAGACATGTAGTAATATAACTACTTGAAGAGGTTAGAATAGACGTCTTGCTTTAGCTAGGCGAGTTCCATAATGTAATTAGTGTCTGTCTAAGTCTCATAATCGATTGAAGTAAGTACAAGACAGATGGTATAATACCCGGCACGAACCATGCATAAGGGTAAATTCACGCACTGTATTTATTATTATTTCTCAATTTACCTTCCAACACAAATTCCTTTTCTTATTCCTACGTTACTTTCAAATAGACATGATTATATAACCATTAAATACTGAGAGATGAGAGAAATTTACAATGCGCGAATTTACTCCTACCCAGAAATACGGTCATGGTTAGTGTTGGGGACTAAATGGCTTAGCTGTTTGGCGACGTCTATGTAGGTATTGTGAGTAGTTAATCGGGCGCGTTGAGTAGGGACTGTGAGTCGAGGAGCTGTGAAGCGTCGATGAGGCTTAACTGCATGGCATCCAGTCCCGCCGTCACCGTCTCTCCTCGACTCAGGCTGAACGGGTAGAACCGGGACACACTGCGCCGCGTCGGGGGCTCCGCCTCACCGTTACACGCACGCTCCGACATTATTGATAAAGACGGCAGCTTCTCTTTTATTTGGTGGATCTGAAAATAATATAACAAATTGAACAATGTGTTGTGGTTATTTTTTCTGAGAAGTTACATGTGAAGTAAGTTAGTATGCGTTGTAGTGTGTTTTTATGCAATTATAACAGTTATTAATTCTAGTAATAATCAAACAGTAATTGACATAAAGTATAAAACAACCATTAATGAACAAAATGAGCACCGCAGAGTACCAGGGCGTCAGAAGCTCCAGGAGCTAGGTACCTGTTTGAGCGCGGCGTAGTTGTGCACGTGGTACTGCACGGCGCCCGCGAGCGGCGCGTCCAGCGGCACCAGCCAGCGCTCGTAGCACTGCGACCACAGCTCCATGGCCGCCACGGACGGGCACGGCTCCAACCGGGACAGTTCCGCCGCCGATTTACTGGGAAACGTGGGTTGAGCTGCGGAATTATACAGTAAAACTCAGTCCAGTACACATATATAATCAGGAACACACAAGTCAGACTTTAAGTGTTTAGCTTTGTTACATTCATATTTGTTAATTATGTAAGTATGTCTGTTTAACATTATGTCTCACTCACACAGCCTCTGTGATGGCACACTATTCGGTTTGATTCCATACAGCGGGTTGTAGAATAACGCTTTATCTTGTTCTGAGAACTGCTCGCCCCAGTCCCACACCGGCCGCTGCACGAAGTTCTGCTAAAAACAAATAAAAAAGCAGCGCTTAGAATTATGCAGCTTAGTTTAAATTTTTACATTTACTAGGTGGCGCTAATGTAGCGTCAAGTCCTATTCGTTAAGCATTGTAGCTGTAATAGTAATAAATATTTAATGGTAGGATATTATCAACTAGTCCATTGATAATGAGATTTTAGTGCGATGTTCACCAGAGGACATCTTCTGAACTGACTTAACGGAAGTTCCTATAGATGTATGACCAACAATGTGATAAAACCAGGAGCATGAATGTTTATAGTTTTACACTATGCATACAGGTGGCGATCAGCAATTTATAAAGGTTTGTGAGTTAAAATTTGATGGCTTACCCTAGCTACAGCGAGTTCGCGGTCCCTGGCGCAGTTAAACAGAAAAGTATCAAAGATATGGTTATGTGCACAGTCCCATAAGGTCGTGAGGTATGTCTCAGTGAACTGGAAGTCTGCCGGGAACTGCTGGGTGAGCTGCCAGACACAGTCCAGGAACAAAAGTAGTACTGGCGCAGTCTGGGCGGAGGTCGCCTCCTTCGCTGTCGAGTCTTTAGGGTTTCCTGGCCGAGGGAGACCGAATCTGGAAAGTGAATTGTTAGTTTACAAATGGGGAAGTTGAAAATTGTTGCAGAGTAATTCATGTTTGTGGTATTTTAACTTACAAGGTTAGACTGTCAGACAGACCGTCAGATTTTCGGTTATTAGTGAGAGCTCCCGGTATACCAGACATCAAGTATTTTTTTTACAGGATGACAACTTTTGTTGGCCTTTTAAAAACTACAATAATGTTAAATCATTTAAAAATATATATTAATACCATAATATTTTTTTCGTCTGTTAATCTTTCCACAAACATTTCAAGACCAAAATTAGCCAAATCGGATGAGCCGTTTTCGAGTTTTAGTAAGACTAACAAACGGAAATTCATTTTTATTTAAATAGATATATGTAAAATACCAAAATTGTCGTTTAACAAACGACAATTTCCTTTCCTTATTAAAAGGAAATAGCGAATTATTTGCGGAAATCCAGGCCATATTTTGCCAAATTAATGGTACACCACAAAATGTAATCACGGAACCGCAGAGGGCTTAACGAGTTGCCGGGGTTCCGGTTCGAAGGACCTCCTCACTCCTCACCAGGGCGGGAGAAGTCACGGGATGATTTTCCCCCCTTAAAAAAAATCCATCAAATGTATTGTATTATATATATTACTCACCTATCACAGAAGGGGTGTCCGAGTGCGATCCATTCTTTCTGTATGAGCGACTGGAAGCCTGATATCGTACGGAAGTGAGGGTCCACCAGTAGCTGAGTGAGACACGACACTACTGAACAGTAATCTACTCCGTCACCTGAAAATATGGAATGTCAAATTGTTATTAAACTACCAACAAAACTATTATAACTTGAAGTTTCATCAAAGTACGAGTTCAATTGAAATGAACACGTCGAAATATAATTAAATAGTTAAGCTAAAGCAAAAACTGATTTGACCTTTTTACCCGACCGCACAATACAAGCAGAGTCTTTATAAAAAAAATAGTAACGCATACAGTCAATATTTGAACTGCTTTATTGTATTGTGATATGCGCTTAACTTCATTTGTATTCTCTTATTGCTTTTTATTTGCACAATTCTTTTCCATCTTGTAAATAATTATGTGTCATCTTAATGCGCTTCAACTTACCTTCTTGTAAGACGACGGTAACATTATTAGACAAGTGTTGTGCGGCGTCGTCTGCGAAGGCTATACAGTTAGCGACGTAGCGCAGCCACCGACTCGCGTCCAGGATCGAGTAGTACTGGGAGTCTTGCATCTAAATGACGAATCATAATGAAAAAAAATAATTAAAGATTTTGCGCAAATTATAGCATTTGCTACACAGTCGCGCAAGTGTAATAATTTGCGCAAAATCTTCAATTATGCGCGGCTGTGTAGCGCTAGTAGTTTGCGCAAAAACAGGTGTATGTGCTGCAGAAGGTAAAATAATGCTAGAAACCAATACAAAAACAAATCCATAACAATTTTGCGCTAACAGTATACGAACGCGCAAAAATATTGCAAGTTTTCGGAAGTACCATAAATAACAAATTCAAATAACTATACAATGTTGTTTGTATTTGCCTCTAATGTAATATAAGACGATGCTAAATAATGGTTGTCTTTGTAAAATCAAACAGCGAAATTCACGAAGGTGTTTACAAAATATCGCATAACACAAACAAACCACATTTATTCACACTGGGTACATACATTAGATAACTGTAAAAGGAAATTATAAAATATTTCATTCATAAAACGACTAAATAACAGGAAAACTATAATATGTATGTTATCCAAGCAGTTTGGTAACCGCAGCGTGCTTCATTAGTTACTGACAATTGAACTGAAGTAGTTTAATTTAATTTTAGCTATAAAGTTCCTAGAAAATTATGTTTTCAAGGACTTAACTATTAATTAAATGTTTTTCTTTGTTTTTGTTTTGTGGTAACTCTTTTGTCTGTTTTGTTGAATTACAGAAGCGCGTTTTTAACACCTAATATGTATTCGTGCATAAATGTAAAGATTATTTTTACTTTTTTAAAGATTAGTCTCATACTAGTATTTCCGCCAGCGCTACTTTAAAATCATTTATCGTACACAATGATGTGGAATCGATAATTCTTACTTACCCAAAACTGTCCAAGTGTAGTCGGGGTACATAATTCTACAAGTTTCTTGTATGAAGACTGTAGCGTGGCTAATGGTGGTAGTATACCAGGACCACCAGCATTCGTGAACGTATTGCCACACAGGTATAACACGTGGGGCGGCGTCAACTTCGGGTGGGAGCGACGGACCTGGCAATTAAAACTTTATTATTATGACGGTACGATTGAGTTTTGGTTATGAAAAGACATGTGAGTGAAGTAAAACCGATTGATCATTTACGTTCTATCTGCATTAAGTTAACCGAAAAAGTATTAATTAGGCATCCACTCTACAATTACTTACGAATTAATAATTACTATGGAAAAGAGGTAAATCTATCACACATTACACCTTACCTGCTACCTGCCACATACCTATCTAACACATAAACAAAACAGTATAATCTAAAAGTTCAATGACCTCAATAACTTTATCGGATATTCCGCGACTGACATTAAAAATGTAGACACGTTTATCGAGCGTCCGCGACGCTTAGCGAATCGATCTTACTAGACTAGACTGTTGCACCTATTTCTTTAAGAAAATAAAAAAAAGAAAACAATTTGAAGCACGACTTGGTATAATTAGATTAACTTCTGAACCGATTTCATGCGGATTATGATGTTAGTGCTGCTTTCTTATAACTTTCTGTGAGCTGTGTTAGTTAAGTTCGCGAGAATATAACAGTAAAATTGACAATTCAAGTCGTACGACATTGCAATAAAGTTTAAGATTGATTCTCGGACGCATAAGGAAGTGTCATTGAGAATGATAGGCTATAAAACTCTGCTCTACGACTAGATCTATAATTATGGAAGCCTGAAGTAAAATACTTATTAAAAAAAGAACCCTTTTATTTTTTTACTTACACACTTCCACCAGATAAGGCAAGAAACACTATGTATGTAATGTAACCATAAAACCATTGCAAAAATCTTACCTGTTCTAACAAAACACTCTCAGCCGTCGCCGACTGCTCAGTACTCAGGAGTTCTCCGCTCCTCAACAACGCTGCACCTTCAGGTCTCCCCCACACCCATATAGGCACGCGACCTGATCGGAAATGTCTCGCAGACTCCATCAAATTATAATCTAAAACCGAACTGGGAACTATTAGGGTTTCTCCTGCGGTTAACATAAAGGCGTCTGATGTTCCATTAATGCAAGTTATCCTCCAATGAGGGCATTCACATCGTTCTAGTTCCCTCTTCCAATCGCCTGGTCGCTGGAACATGTTCATGTCGGTTGGGAGTGTGGGGTAGTATGGCTCTCTGTACTCGAATGCGAAGAGTAGGTCGTGTCTCTTCGGGAAGGCGTGGTGCATGAGAGCGAGGGCTATCTTTCTTCCATTGTCTATTGGCGAGTTCGCAAAGCTGAACGTGAGGACTTTCATGTTCTGTAATAGAAGGGTTATTGAAATAACTAAAAATTACGAGTTACTTACATAAATGTACTGAGAAAAGCTCTATTAGTTTGTGGAAGGGTAATTGCTTTATTTCTCCTTTTTTTATGGAATAGGAGGCAAACGAGCAGACGGATCACCTGATGGTAAGCGATCAGCGTCGCTCATAGACGCCCGCAACACCAGACGAGTCACATTTTCTAGTACTATGTCATTGTCTATGTCATTTATGAGACTATATCAGTCAGCTTTGGGTTATTGCAATTTATCAAGTATTAAGGGAAATAGGAATAAAATATTTAATCAACATTATGATGAAATTATGTAGTTTCGAAAATTTTAACACATTTCCTTATCAACACATACACATTTATATTTATCAGCTATGTGACGCCAATTTTGAGAAGAATCTTATGCTCAAAGGAAATAGTTAAACAAGTGATTCATAGTCTATAAAAATATCAGATTGATTATTCATCCGTTATCATCATCACAAATATATTGCCGTGCCCAGAACTAAGGGCCTATGGTCTTGTAAATATCTCTAAAACGGGGATTTTTTCGTGTCGACCGCACCAAACATTGCCATTTTAATGTAAACCTTACAATCATGTTCTGACAGAATGTTATTGTTTGTACGATGGGCTAAGTCACCATTTCAGTTAAGCCATAATGTATGAATGTGTGCCATATGTTGTATCATTCTTATCTTTAAAGTCGGTTAAAATGGTATAGTAATGGTGTTTGTCTAATAGGTGTGGTACTAGGATAACATGTGTTTGTAAAAAAATATTATTAATAAATTGTTGAACAGTCTGATGATGGGAATAATATTGAATAAAGTATTTGATGTTTAATTCTACTGTTAATTTTTTTACTCCTTATCTCTAATTTCGTTTTGGATTATAATTGGGATGATGATATGGTATAAAAATTAAAAATCTAATTAGTCCGTAACTTAGGTAATGAAAAAATATTAGACATGAGTTTTTTTTTATTTTGTCGTATATTAAAACAATACTTAGATAAAATGAATCAAAGTTTAGGGCTAAAACGTCATTTCTACGTATAAAATGTACATAGAAGTGACGTCACGCGACATTTCAAATCAATATAATTATCGTCGAAAGTATTCGTTTCTGTAAGAAAATAAAAAATACGTGTCTAATGATTTAAAACAATCTACCAGACATTAAAATAAAAATTAGGCATTACCCTAATCATTATTAAGTTAATGTTTACTAGTTGTTATGTTGTGTTCACATACTTGTGAAAGCATGGTCTGCCATTTACTGTTTTATATTTTTACTCTTTTGTGTATATCGCTGTGTATTGTGTACTTATTAAATAAATAAAATAAATAGGTACCTTCCCTAGATTGAGCGAAAATTTACCGAGATCGATTACAGCCTGGAATAACACAGGCTACTTTTTATCCCCTCTATATTACCTACATAATTGGTCTAACTATTAATACATTGACAATGAGTGGATATCCACTCTCTATCCATGTGACATTGAGTCACGCGCTAATCTGATTAGATAAGTGACCCGAACGGATTGCTAACACATCTGTACCGTACTAACCATACTTAATCTGTGAATGTAACACTTATGAGCTATGTAAGTAAATATGGATAACGACCGTAGGTTTACTAACATTCTTTTGATAGCGGTTTTAAGTACACAAAGCACCGCTAATTAGTTCGTGGTGCTACACATCGACACAACTATCATTTACACAATATACATGTGTGGGTAATTTCATAGCAATAGATATGTATAGAAACATTCGTCTATCACACACATCTTGGTATTTAAATATCATTTTTGTGTCGGTATACGTAATAATTTAGTCAATAAGTTTAAATAAAAACGAGGGTAAAGATAAAATTACTCATAACAAACTTTGAATAAATCAAAAATAATGAACGATCGAGCTATACAATACCCATATAACTATAGTGCTTTCTCATTGTAATTTTATGTTACTGAATGATATACAATATTTCGATAATCTCATCTACAGCGCGCTTGGCGCAATGGTTATCGCCTCCAATTGTCAAGTAAAGTGCCGCCGGATCGATTCCAGTATATTCACATGTTGTTTTAGTATTAATTTATCAAATATTTGAAATTTGAAATTGAAGTTAGAAACAATTAAATCTTTTCTTTTTTTTTCCTATCCTATTGTTCTAAATCTTATGTTAATTTTAAAAGTAAATACTTTAGATTTATTTATACCTATAATATCTTTTATTTGTATTTTGTAATGTAATTTAAATTAATTAAATAAATAAAATAGTGATTTAAAGAACTTTAAACTTAACATGTGGTATATAATTAATTATTAAATATAAATATGGAATATAAAACAACACATTTGTATAATAAATAAATTAATTGTAATAAAAAATAGTATTGTTTTATTTACCGACTCATTTGCTTCTTTTATAGCCTGATATTTATATTTTATGACAAAAAACAAAAAAAAATTAAAAAAAATAACAAGGTAATATAAAATAAACTTTTAGCTGGAATAGATCCCACATCATTGATCCTTGAAAGACGATATAAGCGTGCTCATTTCACCAATCGACCACGAGCACTACGATAATGACAGTGAAAATGTCGGGTCATATCAATGATTGTAAATAGTTTTAACCTTACCTATGCATTAAATTATAAAAATACGTATACCGACACAAGAATGAAAATACCAATGTGAACGTGGTGGACGAATATTTTTATACACAGTAATATGAAATTACCCACACATGTACACTGTGTAAATGACAGTAGTGTCGATGTGTAGCGCTGCAAACTAATTAGCGGTGCTTTGTGTACATTCTATACTCACAACTTGATTAGCTGATAATATCTAAGTACATTGCAAAATAATCTTTAAGTATTATGGAGCAAAGTTCATCTGTTTTAACAGTCTGTATGACTGATATATGCTAAAAAAAACAATGAACCTATTTTCATACGGTGCCCATTGAGGGATAGAATAGAGACAATTTATTTAAGGTATCTAAACTGGATTGAGTGTAAAGTTGCACAGAATTGATAGATCGATTTTATTACTTTTATTAAATCGTATTAAAAACTTAAAGAGATGCGTCAAATAACGCCACATAGATGACGTACTTATTCTTTGTTTGGATACATAAATTATAAGTGAATACCTACCTTATTGTACCTACTTATTATTCACATATGAAGATAGTAACCTACAATATTTTATTTACATTTGAAAAAAATATTGCGCCATTGATAGTAAACGCGATTGCTAAGCAAGAAGACTTAAGGCAAAAGTGATAATCAAGCGGCTTATGACAAAAACTGATCTTTTCCTTCATTGGGAAATCGATTCTGAGAACCTTGTTAAGGTAATAGGATGTACAATACTAATTTAATATAGCTATACACGTATATTAATCAATATCTTTGACGTTTTATGAATGATTACGTCTTATCTATTTACACAATTGCAACGTGTATGAATAAATAAGATTGTCTGGGTAACATTTATTGTTTTCGTATACTATGTTCATAGTGTCAAAAGTTTTCAGGATTTTATAAGAACAAATGTGTGAAGAATGAGTTTAACTTATTTTTTATCTGTGTATTCGTACAGATAGTCTATGTAAACTTACTAATCATACGTACATTGGAAAGAATGGGCGATTATTTAAAAAAATACTTTGGTAGGTACTTATATCTGAAGAACAAAGCGTCGTCGTATCGATAATTTTATGATGAATGAACTTTGTAATTGAGTAAATATTATATTGATTTGAATGTTAAAATTTCTGTATAGTTCAAAACTTATTCTTGGACATTGAAACGTTTTATAATTTTTGTTTTAAGACCACCTAGTACTTAAATTTAAATCATCAGTTAGACCAAAAAAGCCCTTTTGAAACTCCATCAATTTAAAACAGACTAACAGCACATCTCCATATAGCCTCATTTTCTTTTCTGCAGCAGTGACACTGATGCAGTGTAGATATGAACTTACCTTGCATATAACTTGCAGCCCCTTTACTTTGCCAGGCATGTCTCCGTAGGGCATGAGTCGCCGCCGTCGCTGCGGTCCACCGTCTGTCAGCCACACAGCTCCAACCCCAGTTAGTGGGACGTCGAATGCGCCGAGCAGATAGTTCCTTTGGCAGTACTCCTAAACAAATAAGACAAACATTAATACAATGCAGTTAACTACTGGACTATGGGCCAGCATAGGCCTTTTTTACATAAGAGGGTCACTAATAGTAATATCCATGCTTAAAAAGTTCAAATGTGTAGTCGTGTCTCTTAGATGAATCTAAAGGCATCTGTTGAAAGTGTAGAGCTGATGTTGTTATCATTGTTTTGATTCTTGATATCGCTAGTCTGTTTAGTCGTGTCGTGAGTGCACCCTGTTTCAATGTAGATATTGTAAAAAGTCCCCGCATAAAATTCTCTGACTGTAAGCTCTCTTTTATCTCATAATATTCAACATTTTCCTTAAGTTTACGCCTACGTCTTGTATTGTATCCCTGAGGTATTACCCCGTCGGGGAGTTCCTTACAGTTTACAGTAGTAACCCATTTAGTGAAGATTTATGTCTTACTAGTATTTACCTACACTAGGTATAAATTCTGTTTGTATAAGATGAGTCAAGTCGACGGTATGTATTTAATTGGTGTAGACGTAATGAGGATAAAAATTGAGGTTGGGTAAAAATCTGAATGACTGAACCATTTAAAGTATCGATTGTTAGGATAAACTTGATTTTTACATAACTATTTCTTGGTTACTCTTCTAAAAATTTGTAGATTAGACATCGATTGCATCGTTGGTCAAGTGATTGCTATTACTAATGCCGAATAAGTCTTAGATTCCCTGATCGGACCAATTGTTATTAAACTTGTTTATAGATTTTGTAAGTTCTGGTGTTATTCCTCCAGGGAATACAAGGTACATAAAATAGACATGTGTACTCGTCGCGGAGAACCTAAAGGGTTACCGGGGCTTCGGCTCGATGTGCAGGAGAAGGAACGGGGTGGTTTTTAGTCAGTAAGAGTCTGACACTCCCTCCCGCCTCAACTAGGCGGGAGAAGGCATTTAATGATTTTCCCCCCTTAAAGAAAAGAAGACCTGTGTACTCACATCATTGGTTGAGTTCTCCAAGGGCACGAAGGACAGTTTGTAGTTGGTGATGAAGAGCGAGCCGAACCTACCACGGTCCCACTCGCTGAGCGGCGTCAGCATCACCACGCTGTGCGCCGCTCCCGTCACCAGCTCGCCTGTTTACAACAAGAGTTCATTAATCTATCAATTGGCTACGGAATACAGGTGTTTATTGAACTCAGTACTTAAATGAGCCGTCACCGGAATCCCGTAAGCGCCGTAAGGTACACGGCTGTATATCGATGATATCATACTCAAGTTTGCTAGGATTATTTGACCAATAAATCTGTGTGATTTAGGTATCTAGATCAGTTGGTCCATGTCTATGATCAATAACTAGTCATTTCTTTCCATTTCCATTCAAACGACGTTTTGTGTGATCCATTAAACCATTGTTCCGGATTTACGTGTGTATGATGTGCACTAAAGACAGGAATAAGTCAAAACATTATTGTTTTCAGCGTTTATTTGTCCATCAGTCGTATTATAAACTTCGACCTTATTTTATGGAAATCGTCTTTAGATCTAGTGCAAATTAGTGGAAATCAGGATTCCCATTCTTTGTCTTCTATTGCAAATTGTATGACGTATTTTGTCTGTATGATTCGCTTATATTATCATTCAAATTGAGACGTAAACAAACTGAAAGTGTGAGTAGTTACAAGGGTTTTTTCTATCGCCGAGAATCATGACTGTTGTGGACTTTTTTGTTACGTGGGTTCACGTCATCGCGAGATTTCTCAAGGTGACGTGTTATTGACGTAGAGCTTCGTTGCACTAGACTTGCCGGTAGGTACATAATGACGCACTATTTCATTACAAAAAGTCTCGAGTCTGACTAATTTTAGCACAATTTTTAACGAAACTATTTTGTACAGCGCGTTGGCATGAAATATGTAAGCGATCAATGTGAACAAGAACTATTGTTATGAAAAAGTAAACCTAATATTACTTGCATGTCGAAGATTGAAGATTTGTTTACATAACTATGTTACTGATTACACGACCGCTTACATAAGAAAAAATCACAAAGGTTTTTCTTTTTTCAGTTATAATAAACATGTTATCTATAAAAAAAACGGCAACGACCTACTCGGACAGTGAGTCACTCGTTAATTTTAATTTATAAATATTGTGTTACGTAAACCGCGCTCTGATTAACAATGTTAATATCTCTTATTTAATGGAGTGTTCATGTATTGTTGTTGTAAATAATGAAGCATTGCAAATTCGTATATAATGCGTTCGATTTGAAATTTACATCGATGTGGAACATAAAATATTGTATTTTGTTTCCTGGATTACTAGGTTTTCGAGCATAAATCCGGCAAACTATTAATATATATCGTACCGAAAATCCCCAAAATGCCGTTGTGTTGATTACTTTGTTTACCCTTTTGGGTAATAATACGCTCGAAGGTATGTAGAATGGCATTTAGAAACTCTGTTTGAAAGAAGGTAAAGTAAGAATTATTAGACCGAAGGAACGGGTTGTTCTTGCAATTGGTAAAACTGTGCCAGCGACCTGTCTACAAACATTATCCTATTTGATTTTCATACAAGTAATCATTAAGCTATTGTTGTAATTTGAATGCCTTTAAAATAACATTTAAAATTGTACATGGACCAGTGGATTCAAGCATCTACTTTAAAAACGATTGTAAATGAAACATTTTTCAGAGAGAACAAATTGACCGTCAACACAAGACAAGTACCAGGGCTTCATATTAGCCGAGGACATTGTTATGTGCGAGAAATTACAGCTTAAAAGAGATTAGTTTTACTTTATCGTCTGATACAATTAAACTTTCTAGCGGCCTTCGCACTCAACGATCTGGACCATAGTTTTTATCGCGATTCGTAGAAGGAAATAAGAATGATTTGCGCAATCCGCAGTGACCGTGAACGTTGTCTTTGACTCATGCTGTACCGTGCAGCGAAAATATTTGCGGTATTGTATGTATTTTGGCGGCTTACTTCTTATTCTTAGGCTTATGGTATTTCAAGTGGGCTCGCTGCCATTGCAGCGGTAAGTCCCCTCTTTGAGGAGTGGCTTGAGAGACGCTACGGCGTCCTCACCTACCGCCTGACGCAGGTCCTCACCGGACATGGCAGTTTCGGGAGGTACCTGTGTCTGATGGGGCGGGAGGAAACGCCCGGGTGTCATCACTGCGAGGACCGCCCTGAGGACACGGTGGAACACACGGTGGGAGAATGCCCTTCGTGGGCTGAGCACCGCCGTGTCCTCAGGGAAGTGATCGGCGATGGCGACCTCTCGCGTCCGGGCCTAGTGCAGGCCATGATGCGGAGCGAGGGGGATTGGGATGCCGTCTCCTCCTTTTGCGAAGCAGTCATGCTAGCTAAGGAGGAGGCGGGACGCGTGAGGCAGCGAAGCGCTGCCTCCTCGCAACCCAGCCATCGCGAAGGACACACCGGGCGTCGGGGATCGCGGGACGATCTCCGGCCACCGTAAGCGCGGGCCTGCGGACGGCGAGCATGGGTGGCTCCCCGTCCGACCAGAAACAGACCCGAGCGTACGGCGCGTCGCGTTCCGCGCGCGCCTCAAAGAGCCATCAGACCACCACAGATGGGGCCCAATAGGGCCGATGCCGATTCGGAGTCGCGGAGAACCTAACGGGTAACCGGGGCTCCGGCTCGACGTGCAGGAGAAGGAACGGGGTGGTTTTTAGTCAGTAAGAGTCTGACACTCCCTCCCGCCTCACCCAGGCGGGGGCAGTCATTCGATGATTTTCCCCCCTTAAAAAAAAAAAAAAAAAAAAAATGGTATTTCAAGGAAATCTTAAATGCATCATCACCGTTTTTAAATATTTCGTAAAGTTTATTTTCCAATAATCAACGAAGTTTATGTTTCTGAATGTTGTATTGTTGTATCTACGCATGGAATAACCACATATATGTAGGTGCAACACTAAAGATATAGACGAATTATGAATATAGTCTTTTTATGCAAATATGCACACAATTTAGGGTGATGTCAAAAACACAGAATTGTTTGTTTAGTGAATCATTAACCGGTACCTATATTCGGTATATGTTTACAAATAGCAAGGACATACATTATCCTTGTTATTTGTAAATAAAATATAATTACTATACATTCTATGCTGTCAGTATATGATAAAATAATTTCGATAAGCATGCTGTGGACAAGGTCACTGATAAGGATAATTATGTGTAAAATCAATTAGATAGCTATTGGGACAGTATAAAACGCGAGCAATAAAATAGTTATTAGTTATTATATCGTACCTTTCCTCAGAACACCCATTGCGAATGACAATACACTATCAACTGGTGTATAGGACACCACTTCCTATCATCCATTTACTATGGCTCACTCAAGTTACCAGGCAATCATAAAAGGCGATACAGTTACGCGTTCGTAACGCATACATAATGATTATTATTGTAATTTGCATCATGACTATACCTACTTGGACGAAATAAAAATATTTGTGTATAAACAGGTTACATTGTTTTGCCCTTGGATAGGACATAATTAAGATGACATGTTACGTGTCATTGACCTTTCGTAAACTGACGAAAAGATAGCTGAACAAATTAAAATTGTTGGATATGAATACCAAATTGGTTGAGGTAAATGTTGTTATGTACATTTTAGGTGTTGATTTCAACAATTAATTATTGTTTCCTTTCCTAGTCAAATTATACATAAAATATAGTAGAATCAAAGTCCTCTTGAAAGGTTATAATTACCTATCCACCTTCCCTAAGGGTATTGTTAATATGAAAATGTAGAAAGTAAATTTGAAATAGTTAACAATAAAACAAGTACAAAAAGAGTAAAATAAAGCAAACTTCTTAAAAGACTCCTAAGCAGATTAAACTGTCAAACACCAAGTGGTCACCGGTGACCGCAACATATTGTTCTTTAATTGTGTCTATAAATATGGTACTCAACGAGTTAAGAGAATAAAGAAAATAGATTATTCTGTATGAATTTTTTGTGTTAAATTAACACCATCAACATTCTCAACTGAATGTTGATGGTGTTAATTGAGGGGTATGGTTTCAAAAACTGCTAGGGCCATTTTGAGTTTTATGTAGTACATATTAATACTAATATTTTTGTACCTCTAAACATGAGACAGTACTACGAGGCCTAGCTTACAGAAGATGTAATAGATTTGGGAGGTTGTGGCGGGGTTGTCCCTAAACAAAAAGATGTACTACATACAGAGTAGAAATAGAGTAGACACAATAAAATATTTGGACAGTTGTATTTCTTAGGTCTATGTTCCGGCAGGTCAAATGACACTAGGGAAACCACCATCTGCCTTTCTCAAGCCTTTAGAGTAATACAACAACTTTGGTAGGTACAATGTTGTGAAACGTTTTTGTTTGGCCCGAATTTATAACTATTATTATTATTATAACACTAACAAGAAAAACATATTAGAATTAGTACCACTGTTTTTTCTTAGATCAATCAAATAGGAAATGCCAGCCTCATTTTGCTTGATTTAATAGCCTTTTTACAGAATGATAGATATAAATTAATTGAGTTAAAATCATTATGACTTCACTTGACATAGGTTCTTTTCTAATTCATATGGTAAATTGTAAATTATATAATAGGCTAATTGGAAAATATAAAATTAATAAGCAAATCTGCACCTGACTAAACCAATCTTTGTTTAACCTTTATTTCTCTTATTCAGTATGAAGTTTTTTAAGTGTTTAAAAATGAATTAAATGTTATATAGGACTACTATAAATATTGTTTTCATCTTATTACTCACCATTCAGAAGTTTTGGCTTCACCTCTTGCAAAGAACCATTTTTTTCTCCTTTACTCTGCAATAAAAGGAAAAATTTTAACTACAGTAGACTGAAATTAGGCTATCTTTGTTACTTAGCTTGTACCATGTAGATGTTGTCAATGGAACAACTTTCTAACCTCTATCAAAATAAATAACAACACAGCAATATTATATTCGGAAAACTTGATCCAAAATTTACGCCTTAATATCACAGTTTAATAAAACACTGTTCCTACTTACCAAGGGAGATACATTGATGTAACTCTTGAAGTTTTGAACCAACTTTTTCTCATTCATTGTAATCAAATAACACCAACACGGCGATGACCCACTTTGATCGTTTTCAACTCTGTTTTTAAACTATATATAAATAGATCCTTATATTAGGTTGAACGGAAGGTGATAATTGATTAAATTAACAGTTTTCCACATGATTCTACTAATTTTAAATATTTTTGATAACAATATTTGCGCAAACACTACACTATCTGGATGCAAATTATTCACTAATACATCAGGTTACTATACTTTAAAGTGTTTTTTGATTTGAACTAATCATAATGAACATTAAAATTACTATGATACGATGTCAAATACATGTTGTGAGCAATATTTTTATAATTTAAAATAATTACGACCCACAGCAACACGCAAACGATCAACGACAGATAAATGTTTGAATTGCCAGCCACGAATATTATTTCCTTAAAACGTGGCAGCACTGAAAAATGTAATCCATTTTTAATTAAATGAATATTTAAAATTTACTATAAGCTAAAAATAATTAATTAAATGAATTACTTACACCATAATATTTTTTTGAAAAAATAATTATCTCATAGATAAAAAGAGTACTTCAATTATAATTTATAATCTGTATCATTGCATCATCTGTGTTTTTCACTGAAAAATAACCTGACCATAGATTGTGCAAGTCTTATAAAAAAATGGCGATTGTTAAATTTTTGTTGAGAGTTTGAAAGCACAATCCTCAAGCACATATTTAAAACTTTAAATATCTGTTGGTGAAACTGTGACTATAATATTCTGAAAATGGCTGACGCATTGGTAGAGCGGAGACCCACCGCTCGGTTTTTCTGCCACAGGTGTAACATTGAATTCGAAGATGTTTTGCAGGTAAAAATCAATAGTTTTGGTTATATTTCTCTCAGGTTGGGCCTCCCTTTAATCAATTACTTTATAATGACAAATATTACGTTATCCCTATGCAATTACAAGTCTATTTCACATAAGAGTATAATGGGAGACGAGATTTCCGTGGCTAATTTGCAATAGGATTCTTATTGGTGCAGCCGGTCGGTTCACAATACTGCGTGACATTTCTTTAGAAAATTGTTCTGGGGTCAGGATTGACGGAAATAGTCAATTTTACGCAATTACAGCATTTGTGTTATGTAGGATTTTGTATTGTGAGCTTGTGCATATTTCTATATACCTACTCTGTAATCCGCATCCTTACTTCTCACAATAGATCCACAAATGTCATTGATTGATGTCAATAAGAATATTCAATCAGACTAAACAGAAACACCAAGGACATATTCTTATCAGAAGACCTTGAAGAATCATTATGTATTAGTCATTTGTTACTCTAGAATATTGAGTTGTTTTACAAAATAAACAGCCTCATAAGAAATGTCTTATCCACGGGGGATGCCCCTGTTATTAACATTGTTAGCTAAACACAAACGTTATCAATAGTAAACATACATTTTCTTATTCCAGGATTATACATGCCCATACTGCGCTAGTGGTTTCATTGAACAGCTTGAGAACGAGACAGAGGGCCTGGCACTATCAGGAGATGACTTCAGTGATGCGGACATGAGCAATATTGATGATATGAGCAATATCGATGACATGAGCAACCTGGACGACTCGGATGAGATACACCACTTGTCACAAGTACTATTATATCTTTTAATTACTTAATCTATAAGAAAACTATGGAGATATAACACTATGCACATAAAGCTGCTTTAATTAGAATTTGTTACTTGATTTTCACCTCTATTGTTGATCTGGAGAAAGTAGCTTCTAGTGCTAACATCTTTACTGTAATGTTACACATTCCTAATGATTATACAAAATAAAATCTAATGTTATGAGTTTTTTTGAGATTATGGTAGGACACTTGTAGAATATAATGTTATTGTAATCATCCATCTTGGTTTTAGTGTTGCAATATAATTTTTTGCGTGTAGGTTAAACGCTAATTATTAATCTGTAATTTAAGTTGTCAGATTGATATCCAATGATCTGTGAATGAATCAAATGAGATGATACTGTCACTACTCAGTAGCCATTCAAGGGAAAAAATATTCTCTGTTAGACTATGTATGTAGTAACTTTGATGTAACTAATCTATCCACCATCTTACGGTTATTTAGCAACGTTATTGATTAAATAATTTTTTATCTGATATAAATATCTGATAAACATAAAACGAATTGGTTAGTCATAATGACCATTTCCAAATTGATTTTATTATGTTAGTAATCTATTCATTTGCATAGTCTTTTTACAAAGAATGTTCCTAATATAGCAGTTGATAAATCTACAAATATTTTTTATTTTAAACATATTGGTAAACAATATTTTGAAGTTTTGTTTCTACATCACGTTTAAAGATAGCTTAGTTAGATATATTACAATAATAAACATAAAGACGGTCATACTCATTATCGACAAGATAAGAGTGCCATGTTCAGACATGTTTATGAAATTAATTTTATTATTGTACGTTATAAGGCGCATAAGTTTGCGGCCTGGCTAATAAGTATGTCAGGACTCCCGCGGGATGTGGCCGCTTTAATTTGACGTGGTTGTTATCGCATGTGGTCGCGTGAGGCGACATTTCTGCCACCACGTGACGTGGCGATGTGTCATGATAACGAATGTTTTGATATTCCCACTGCCGGACCGCCACACCACTTCGTACTCCACGTGGGCGCACGAGATATAAATAGATTAGATCGATTATACGCATTCATTATACTGAGAATGCCTATCAGTCTTATTACTTTCTTCAAATCTGATAAGAATCAGTCTTGAATGTTCTAGATGTTTATGTTTTTTTTCTAATCAATGATAACTGATAAGAAAAAGTAACAAGTTCATCTAAGATGAACACTTTTGTTAATGTTCGAGTCTACTAATACTAAGGCTTTGTATCACATTGATTGCACAATAATTTCAAATGATGGATAGCAATGTTCCTTGTTGTGTGGAGTATGTAAAGTAGTGACCATGTTTATGTGTTGCGATGTCCTTCATGACGTCATTGTCATTGTTAAGTCGACCGTGGCATGTTAGTTGTATGATTTTACCCTATATGTCGAAATAATATCATTTGACTAAGCATGCCTTTGGAAGACTAATATGAACTTCAACTCAACTGGTTAAGGCTCAAGCAGTTGTGTACTCATTGCACTTCAATTGTACACAAGTTTTGTTGTCAAAGTCAAAGTCAAAATCATTTATTTCAATTAGGCTAGAATGGCACTTTTGAACGTCAACAAAAACAAAAATTTAAAGTGAAGCTATTTGCTCATTCCAAGGCGTAGATTCCTATGGAGAAGAACGAGCAAGAAACTCCATAGGTTACTCTTGTTTATTAGTTGTATTGTAAAGAACTGAGAATTTCGGAATTGGAAATCAAGAAATAATTTGTGACATTTGGGTCTTTAATTTCGAAAGTTCATTTTTTTCTGTTGCACTTGCAAGTTTTAACCCAGTCAACCACTGACCTACAAGACAGTCAATGCATTTTCTCATTTCCTATCTATTTATCGTGATACCACAGAAGTAGGACCTACCGTATTATTTATCTTAATATTACGTCTTTCTTTATTTCAGGGAACCCCTCCAATGTTGAACGATCTCGCATTCCTAATGTCCGGTGGTCGGTTACGGTGAGTAAATAAAACAAAATCAAACAATTTATCCAAATAACTCATGAACTATAAATGTCCGAAGATACTTCCAAATCCAAGGCCAAACTGTAATTACAACTCCACAGCGGGATATAAACCGTATAAATTGACCTTGGGCAGTGCGTACGCACGATGATTCCGGCTCAGGGTCATATTTTAGGGGTTAAAATCGTTAGCCCAGTTACCGAAGGCGAAATACAATGAATTGGTTATTTATTGTAGTTTGTTCGCCGAACTATTGGGTGGAATGTGGAAAGAGGAAGAATAGCGCGAGACATCGTCTTCGTGAATCACTCGTGTTATGGGACATACCTCGGAAAAGTCCATTAGTCATGTTACGCCATACTCGCTGATGGCCGAGGTAACATACCAATAGATGACGGTCTTAATACTCAATCAACATTTGACTAAAGTTTAGTATGGTGATCTATATGTAATGCATTTATGTTACAGTAGAGGTGCAGGGCGAAGGGAGACACTTATGGAACAGTTGGTGTGGATGATAGGAGGCGCTAGACCGGCTACTGGGGCCGTGACCGCGGGAGCACCCTTCGTGCTCGTCGGAGCACCCGGGGACTATGTGTTTGGCGGTGAAGGTAACTGAACATTTCTTTATCGGAAATTCTTACGGGATATTCACCATTTTTTTACTGACTGAATAGTGTAATATTGAGAAGTTGATTTTTAATGTAAATGCATGTGTTTCCAGGTTTGGACGCAGTAGTGACACAGTTGCTAGGTCAGCTAGAGAACGCGGGCCCACCACCCCTACCTCGGGAGCAGATTGCGGCGCTGCCGTCTGTGGTCGTTACCGAGGATCAAGTTGCCGCAAACACCTCCTGTTCTGTATGCTGGGAGAACTTTCAGTCTGGTCAGTGTTATATTTTATTGTACTCTAGTTGTTTATTGTAGCACGGTGCACCTTGTATACGAAGCTGCTAAGTCCTGTAATTTTGGTCAGTTTTGAATCAGTTTGTGTAAGGTCAAAGGTCCAAAACAATCAGTAATTTTTACTGAACGTTTCCAATTCCAGGTGAAACAGTATCTCGGTTAGAGTGCGACCATATCTTCCACGCGAACTGCATCGCGCCCTGGCTACAGCTGCACGCGACATGTCCCATCTGCCGGCGCTCGCTGCTGGCCGAGGATGCGGACGCGCCGCCTGACGCCGCGCCGCCCATTGCGCCCGCTGCACCCGGCGCCCCGCCCGCCGCGCCCGCGCCTGCCACCCCGGCCGAGGCTGCCACCAATCAGTACCGTAAGTCTTCCTCTACAATTTGCATTCTTGAGCAACTACAGTTATACTCTAGTTAGATAATGCAATTTGATGTCTGTTTACAGCGTCTCTAACACAATTGCTAGTCCGGCGACTACCGCGGCGCGCGGGGCCCGGCGGCGCGGGCTGGGCGGCGCTGGGAGACTCCAGCAGTTCGTCGGGCAGCATGTCGACGTCGTCCTCGATGACGACGGGCGCGGTGTGGCCGCCGCCGTCGCGCTCCAACACCAACTCCACCAGCTCCAACTCGTCGTCTTCGCTCAACTCCACGGAGCGGGAGCGCCAGTACAACATGGACATTGACTTCGACTAGGGCTCCGTGCCCGATCTGCTCGCCTGGTACTTTATCGCTTGACAGTGACGTTCGCCTCGGCAATGGTTGTGTTGGTGAAGTGTTATGTTGTGATGTGACCGTGATACGACATTGTTGGATAGTAAGTTGAATCGTTTATTTTTTTATTTATGTCAAATTGATAATATTTTTTCATAATGTCACATGAATACGACCATTGTACGAGATCTATGTATAAAATATATAGTTATACCATTACTTAAAGTTCTTACTTCTAGATTAGATCATCATATAAAGGATCAGTCGGAGTTGTGTGCCTTTCATTTGTATTTGCATTGTAGTGTAAAAGTTCCATACAAAAGGACACAGTTGTAATATTGTTCAAATGTCACATGCTTTGTAAGGCCGAGCACTATGTCCTATGATAGAGACAGCAGCGTGTACGTACATTGTAACATTATTGTAACTCATATATTTTTTGTTTGAAGTTTATCCCAAACTGTGTACAAAAATTCATGAGTAAGTAACAGTTAATGTTTGTCATCTGCAATTTTCTTTATTGCATTCATTTTATTCTTTTGTAAATTTTGTAAATATGCATGTAAGTTTAAGAACTTTGCTATAAGCTGTAGTATATTAATACTCAGATAAATAGCTGAATATATATTTCGCCAAATGAAGTGATTTTAAATTGGGTTTTATTGAAATAAGGGGAGCCTTTTACTAATACTACATATTATTACTATAATCATCTAGTTATCCAAGTATTGTATATGTAAAAGGAATAATCCCTAAATGTTGACAATGCAAGAATCTTTGAATTGATTAAGCACATAATAAATAATATTTTTTGTATATAGAGAAAGTTTAAAACAATAATACTTATTAGTTTTTGCTTTTTGGAAAAAAGTCTTTTTTGTAGTAGTATCCTTTATTTTGGAGAAGATAATTACTCACTAGATGTTATTTAGTGAGTGTATATGTAATGTTAGATTAGCAAGGCAAGTAATATATTGATTGGTTGGTATTGCGTAACACTGCGACGAGACTACACGAGTAGGCACGCGGTGTGTGACGGGTGCTTGCGTTGTATGAGGCCCCGGGTCCTAGACTACTAATATAAGATATATGGGGCTGTGAGTGCATGAGAACATTAAATTATTTTACTATTGTAATATTTTATTTTGACTGTGTGTTCTGGTTGTGGTTTGCTCAAGAGTATAGCGATACGAGTTGGTTTGAAGATGTAACAATTCATATTACACTCACTATATCAATATAGTGTCCTTTCAGTTTTCAATTTTCCTTATATGTATTACGATAAGACGAATATGTGGAGTGTGAATGTGATCTTAGAATATTTAGATGTGTCTATCTCCTTATTTTTGTAATACACATGTGGCAGGAACATTCCTGGAAGTGATCAATCATTTAATTCCACTATGGTAGCAAAGTGAGAAGGTCTAACGAAGAATTATATTCTAAACATAATGTAGTGGACTATCCCCAGTGAAGTGCGGCTTCAGTGGAGATTATTGAGCGTGTTAGTACACGGCAACCGTGGCCTCGCACTACATTACGGATGTAAGTAATACAACAGCTCACAAACAACATTTCTGTAATAGCTGTTATCGAAAATCCAATGTTCCTATACAACACACATAGGTTACTTACTAGTGTTGATTGGACAGATGTGTCACCAAGCCCACTCGAGCTTATAGCTACTGGCGCTTTTATTGACCCTAGGTACGAGACGATAGCTCTGTATAACATTATGTATTTAGTTATTACTCGCCTAACTATTACTCCTAAGAATAAGGTAGAAATCATTTTATTAACACGCTTATAGGATCTTGGTGATTCATGTGTCTCAAAATATGCATTTCAAATTTTAGATCCAGGGCAACCGGATCTTAAGACTGATCTCTTAAGTGATAAACTACTTAAGGTAAATAAAATTTGAAATTGTATTTTTGTATAATCATCACATATTCGTAGTATAGGCCTAAATATTCAAAGAGTTGGTGGAGAGCGGACCTTTGTGACATCTAAACATCTTGTTGGGTGAACTATCGTTAAAAATGTCAGCACTTCTATAAAGTATTTTCACCTGGCTCATATTTATTAGTAGGTAGGTTGGAACACGCCAGTTTAACGTAAATTACGGTTGGAAGTAATTCATTTGATATGGAACTTTGTGCAGTAGTGGTCGGCCGGCGCCGCTGTCTGTAGGGCGGTGTCACAGACAGGTGCGGAGTGAAACACATTAGGATTGTTGATCGCTCGTGCTGATACCAGCATTAATGTATTTCGAAAACTATCGACTCTAATAAAACATTGAATCGATATGTTCAGTCCAGTGTTATGTTTAATACTGCGTTCATATTGACAAATATATTATTTATTCTAAAATATAGTACATAATATAAAATAACTAGTTTTTACACATTTTTATCTGATCATAAAATAGAGGTGGTAACTAACAAATATGAAATAAACCTGTGCTTACTATTGTTTGCCTTGAATGGTTTAAATGAAATAAAAAAGAGTAAAAGTGGAATGCATTCACTATCACGGCATAGCAATGGTTCCTGGCAGGTCACTCATTGGTCTTGTGACCATTTAAAGACTGCATCTGTCGAGAAGATTATTTTATAAGAAGTTTTATATTACTCATAGTTTAGAAATATAATATAATAAAATTGTGGCATAATAATGCTCACATATAAATAAATTTAGAGATTAAACTGTCAAACACCAAGCGGTCACCGGTGACCGCGACCTATTGTTCTTTAATTGTGTCTATAAAACCGGTACTCGACGAGTTAAATGAATTCGAAAGCAGAAAAAATATAAGTAACTATTTATTGTAGTGATAATCATAATCATATTGTGACGTACAAAGTTCCGTATCAAATGGTCGACTTGTTACATAATGTATAAAGGCAGTCATGTAAAAACGTTAAAATTACTAAGGGAATGTAAATGTTTAAATAACATAAAATTTTAATGTAAAGTTTGAAAATAAATGCAAGTATATTGAGTTGTGTGTTGTTATTTTATACCTGCGACTTTGTGTTTCAAAATTGTGCCCGCCAGGTGTTCCCCAAGGAGTATTTGACCTGTCAATAAAAATATTGGCAGTTCATTGCACTCGCTTATGCCTGTTAAAAATATAATTAGCAACAGTTATAGGCTGTACTTCATTATTTTATTCTTGTAAATAAATATGAACTGAACGTGTAATCTATTAAATTAAACCACTTTAGTGTGTGACGGGAGTGGTTAAGGTACCACAGGTAGGTTAATTATAAAGATGTACCAGGAGAGCAGATGCGATGACACGTGCGCGGGCTCCGCTCGGGCGGCCACTATAACCCCCATGATTTATTTATATTGGGTGCAAGTTGACCCTTAAGGAACCGGAAAGTAAAAAAAACTAAGAAAGGTACTACTTATGTGCATTAATTTGAATAATTTGGTGCCTAAGTTATTTTTTTTGACAACAAACAGGTGAAGATTATTATGAAGTAGCTCGTAGATAAATGTCCTAAATAAATTATAGCGTTTTATTATAATTGGATTAAAATTGTGGTGGAGTAATAAAATGGTACAACTAAACTATGTTGACCTGTACTGTATAACAAAGAAACTTTTCTTATATAAGTACCTACAAGTTTTATAGGATAAATAAACCATCACGCCATTTAGTGCCCAGTGCACTTATCAGCGTAATTATTAATAAAAGCATGAACAATTTTTAAGTGCACTCACTTTTAAAATGATATGCGATACTGTTTGCATCAGAAAGTAACTAAGTTGATGTAGGTAGGTAGGTAGGGCACACTTACAAGAGGTTGGCATTCTTTACTCTGCAGGGAGTGTAATAATGCTATTTATTAGTGTAAACATCTTTATTGCAATCTGCTGCCATATATTTATGCAACAATAAGCTTGAAGGTGCTTTTTAAAGAGGGTAAAGCAGGTAGGTATATGTATCATGATATACGTTGAATTAACTCTAGGGATGATTTTTACTGCACTAACATTTGACAAATCTTGAGCTTTTCCCGCTTCTCTTTCAATTACGTTTTTTGTTTTGTTTACCGTACTTACATAGTTACAACTCCAACGTCCTATACCTACATACCTAATTAGAACGTCAAGAACTGCATCGATTGGATTATACGCGGCACCGGCGGTTCAATCTATTTTTATAGTCTCAGGCGCATCTAAAGAAATACCTACCTAGTTCTGTAAACTTTAACAATAAAAAAACAAACGATTGATTACTGCATCTATTTCGTACCTACCTACTATAGGTAAGAGCACCCCTGTCAAGGCTTTTAGTGGTTTCTGGCGTGACGGCACCGTTACATAACAATGTAACAACTGTTGCTATGAATATTATGGCTCATTTAATTTAGTTGATAGACAGCAGAAGGTGTACTTTCATATAATTAGGGAAGGGATGTTTGAATCGTAACGGTTCTATTCACGTGTGACCTGGAAGAAGGAATTCAAAGTTGAGATGTCTAAAAGCCTGTGTATTTTCATTGATTTTTGAGGCACACGAAGACTTGTTCCGGAATCGAACCCGCTATACGTTGGATAGCCACTGAGCTAAACGTGCAGTCCATTATTTATAAGTAGGTATTAAACAAATAGTTTGTTTGTAATTAGTACTTGCTTATTAGATTAATAGAGTAGTACTTATATCAAATGCTCGAAACACCCACTTAATAACATTGGTACAACAGCTGTCTCCTATCGACTATCAGCTAACATACCGGGACGTTAAATATGACCATAACTTATAACAATCATAACTTAACAGCGTACGCGCCGATATTTTATCGCTCCTTATATTTAATTTAAATCCAGGATCACACGCGAACGTGGCCGACACAAAACGATACAAAACTGATGTGGTGCGGCGAGGTAAACAAAACGAACGCGCGGGCGCAATGCAATTATTACAAAGGTGCGTGCGCGCAGCTGACACCGCACCTGCCGCCATC